CAGGGATGTCTCAAGATATTGTCTCACCTCCTTTGACGCCGATATCTTTTTCTTGAAACCGGCCATCATCAACTACTTCACTGTTAGGTAAACAAAACACAATGCTTTTCCCCCCTTTTATCCGTTTAGAAAATCTAGCACTAAAATTATCAAAATTCCAGTAAGTTGGTTTGTACTATCGGAGAAACACTGGATGAGATAGCTTTAGCAGTTGGTTGATAATTCATTATATGGAACTTCCCATTTATCTTTCTTTTCTATTTCTGACTGTTGGTATGTGAATAATGCAGTAGCTGATTGGTTAATCTCATTCCAATACTGATTTCATTCCTTACCCACAGGTACGATTGTCAATGCCGTGTCGAACAGGTGCAGATGTGCATATTCTCCTCAATTAATTTTTCCTATAATCATTGTTATATATTTTTGCCGCATCTTGTCATCGTGATGAATGGCATGGATGCTTGCCGTGCGGTCCAAGTTTTGAGAAATTTTGTTTCTTCATGGTATTAATAGAGAATTCACTTATGTCTTATGGTATCTTATTCTCATAAGCTTATGATTAAGTTTTTCGTCTTTGCATTTTTCTTGAAATATCCACGTCCGACACATTTGACAACTTGAATATTCACCCTAACTGAGCCAAACATTACCCCAAGTTGACCAAACATCAGTGTTTGAGCCATTCCTCTAGGTATGAACCTCCTCATTGATATACCACAATGATAGGCTTGCATTTCCTGTAAATCTAATTATCACATACTGTGCTGCTCGTGTTAAAAATCTGGTCAAGTACAGGACTTACGGAATTTTAGATCGAATTAACAGTAAGCCAAGTGGACAGGATCTTTGTATGTTTCAACCAAAATAAATAAAAGAAAACATAAGTTCTGCATGAAAAGTTCTGTTATTTATTGTGGTGATGTAGGCAACAACAATATTCACAAGAGGCTTACAACCGAGTCGAATACCATAATACCACTAGTGGAATGACAATTCCAACTATATGAACTAAAAACCATTGTTTTTTATATTTGTGTAGCCAATAGTCTTTAGTAAAGCTAAGCACACAGAAATGGTTCAACAGCATAGGAAAATGCCTTTCCAGGAGTAATCATTCAGGCACAGCAAAACTCTCCTGCACCCATTGTGGCACGTCCACCACTGCACATGGATCTGATTTCTCAAAATTAGCAACCTACACCAACACCAGCAAACAGGTAAATGAATTAAAATGAAGACCAACAACGATCAAGTGGACAAAGACAGGCAAACGAGTCTCCAATTTCGATTACAATCAATAAGAATCAATCAGGCAATGCACAAACAGATAGGTTGATAATCCGAATACATTCAAACCTATACAACATTAAATTTGAACAAAATTCACATCTAATAGAACTTAAACCAGAATAATTTGTATTGAGAATCTACAAATGTATTTAATCAGATCCAGAGTTGAACTGAGATCTAAAGTTCAGATACTAGAGAAAAATGGAAGAGTGGGTGGAAAAAGAAAACAAGCCAAGACTCACCTGTTCATTGCATTTGGGGCAATGGTGATACTTATGCCAAAGGCAATCCATTGAAGGGCAAAGGAAGCAGACTCCAAGCATAAACGGTATCATGCATCCAACAACCGCTGCCAGACTAGGTTTAGATCTGAATTACACAACAAGATCTAAAGGTTTAATGGAGGATGTACTCGGCCATTACAGAACGCATAAACAATGACACCCGGATCAAAACATTCAGGGAGAATCAAAAAATGGATCAATTCTAAGCTGCCAATATGAAGAACAAAATGCAGGCTAGGGTTTTATACCTGACATGGGTGAGTCCGGAATTACCACAATAAGGGCAGTTAAAAGGAGCAGGGGTATCGCGATACATGGTTTGCTGAATCGGAATTCCCTTGGGATCGCCGTATATGGCGTTCGGCGGTACCATTCCAGCCTGGTACGGATTCACCCCGACATAGTATGGGACTCCTATGGCCGGCTGCTCTGTCTTCGACATATCTAAGTTTCTTTTGGGGCGTGTTGACTTTAATTGGCGATCTCAGGAAAAAATGATAAGAAAGTATCCTTTCCCCAATTAAGGCAGCAGTATAAACCCTAATTACAAGTTATTCGGCTGCGCTAATCACAACTTAATGTAAGCTTTGTCTTAACTCTTACGTTTAATTTAGAAGAAGGGCAAATTACATATATGATCATGATATTTGGGTAAATTTTTCTTTTTCTTATTAATCTCTTAAAAGAAATAATCTAGTCATTAATATTATCAATTTATAATAAATTAATTTTCAGACAACAAAATATTTATTTGACGTGTTAAACTAATGATTTGACATCGTTTTACTACACATTTAACTTCCTAAAATTTTAGACCGACGTTCTTCAGCTCTCATCTTCTTTAAGTGATTAACATCATAACACCACCACCACCATGAACTGAGAATTGCTCCATATCTCAAAGATACAACAGCTGACGGTCGAAAATCACCCTAACTGATGGAGCATCAACATCATGCATCGTCTGTTTTCTTCCCTCGGTTCATCCTCACCTCAACTTTTTCTCGGCAAGATAATCAGGAGCTTCCCGAGTCTCCTATTGTTAACAGATAGGAGTCTTATGTTGAAATATTTCTAGTTCTAAAGAGATTTTAAGAAAGTGTAGATTAATAAAGTGATAGAGGATATTAAGACGAGTTCATTGATGCCTAAAGTGATCGACGAATGATAGTTCTAGCAAAAATTTAAATGCGAAAAAACTGAATTTTGAAATCGAAGATAAACAAAAAAAAATGTATGTAAAATGCATAAAAATTTAGCTTCTAGTCAGAAAAAAGGGCATGTCAGTCAAATGTTTTAGAATTAAAATATCTAAATTGACATAAATAAAAGGAATTCTTATGACAGATATGTAAAAATATTTACCGGAGTCCTAATCTCAGATGGTGAGAAAGATGAAGGAAAAGAAAAGAAAAGGTGGATCGGTGTTTCCCCACTTGCCAGTATCACTGTGTGTCTGTGTTAAACTAATTGACCTATCCCATTCTATACCCATCGGCATTGCACCTCCTTTAGGCTTAGATTCCCTCCAAAGCAAACAAAATCAAAAGCTTCGTTTGTGTCCTAATGCAGCTCTGCACTAACCCATCGTCTTGTTCATTTTTCTGCTAATGTCTCTCTTCCCTAATCTTTTAGAACCGAGGAGTGTGTGTGAGGGCCTCTTATCTATCTGTCAGTGCTCACGTGTTAACCACAATACAAACAAACCTGATTCTTTCCAATTTGGCACTGTGCAAAACCAAATGCCAAAGACTGCACGTGATCATCTCTGCACAACCACCACAATGGGTCAGGTCGGGTTTAACCACGACTCGCTTAAATATAAACCTCCAACAATTCGTTAATATTGGTAATTGCAGTCATTAAAGTTGAGCAGATATGGGAGGATGGCGGTAAGTGAAGGTAATGATGCACAAATGATGCATTATTAATAGAGATAGATAGATAGTACTTGGGACAAGACGGAGATTGAAGTTTGCATATCATATTATCTTCACCACGTGTCCAACAGATGTGGCACTTCAGAGTTCAGACCCCCCAAAGGCAGCTTTATTCTCTGACATCGAATTTCTGTCTTGCTTTTACTTACTATTCACACTTGTTGTCTCTCTCTCTCTCTCTCTCGATTTACAATTGTTTAATGGTCCCAACATGGTAGAGATGAAATACTAGTCGTCCAAGAACCTCTTAGATCCATGTCTAGGCGTAAAAAAATAATCAAAATTAAGGGGTTTTGATTTCGCTTTATCCCCCCACATAAAATATTAGTCAATTTAATTTCCAACTTAATTCCAAGCCTAATAACTATCACACTAAAAGTCTTTGGAGAAAAATGCATGACAGATCCATAACTATACAATGTTACCTGCAACAATGTTGATTCATACATCACTAACTCATATTTATTTCAAGATTTGTGTTAAATTTTCATGTTATGTAGTGTAATAACATTATGTCCAAAGTTGCCAAATCTAGAAACCTGGCATAAAGAGTTCATTTTGGTATTTCCTCCCAAGTTTGCAATTACTAGCAACAGATATAAGCTTAGGGATGGGCATGGGACCCGAACCCGACGGGTTCCGACCCGATCGAGTTGAGTTTTTTAAAGGTGATGTTCGGTTTGGGTCGATTTAGATTGAGTTCAGATTTTATCTCAAAAAGTTAGGTAAGGATCAGATCGAGTGGAGGATATATATTTTTCGGATCGAGTAGGATCGGGTGAAGTATATAAATTTTCGGGTCGAGTCGGGTTGGCCAAAATCCGACCCATGCCCATCCCTATATAAGTTGAATGTATTAATGCTTACACTATGGCACCAATTAATTAACTTTCAAAAAGTGATAATTTTAATTGTGGATATTATTGATCAACTAATTCAAAAAGTGATAATTTATTGATCAACTAATTCAAATTAGATGTTGTATATGTTTTTTATATAATAATTTTTTCAACCTAATTTACTCCTTTCACTACGTTAAAATTTAGACTTTTAACTTTATCTTGTTTACCCTAAACCTTTTCCTTTTATAATTTTGTGTAAATACAAGATAACATATGTTCGAAGACTCTCAATCATTTAACAATAAATATTTATACACTTGCATATGCAGTGTTTGAATTTAAGACCTTAAGATATAACAACAATCGATAAATAATAATAATTTCTTAACCACTTAACTTAACCTACTAATGGGTAAAAGGGACATTCTCAACGAGGGGAAGGCATAAAACAAAGAACGATGCACATCTGTCATAAATGAAAATTCTATAATACCAATTCAGAGAAAACTAGTTTAATAAAGAATATTTGGGGAAACTAAAACAAAGGTGAATGACATGGCAAATATTATTCTTTGTTTTTCACCATTCACAGGCACAGGCACAGGCACAGGCACAGGCACAGGCACAGGCACAGGCACAGGCACAGGCACACCTAGCAAAGTCTATTAATCATCTCTGCCTGAGAATTCTTTGAAGAAAAGATACAAATTGTGGGTTTCATGGCAACCTAGTTTCTGGTCGATCAAAGTGAAGAAGTTGATCCTTACATTTGGGACAATCTTCTTCTTGCTTGGGAACCATGAAATACATCAGACAGCTCCTACAACCAGCAACGACCAACACATTATCTTTGTCTTTATCCGCCCGATGGCGGCGGTTGCTTTCGTCGTCTTCGTCTCTATCTCTTGAAGAATATGAGGGAGACGAGTCCGATGATAGCTCATCGCTGTCGTACAAGGAGTCATCGTCTTCATCGGAGTAAAAATCTCCACTGTAATCAGCTGCTGTCCTTGGATCCTCACTTGCTTTCGTTCCATTCCTCCAGTTTATGTAATAAATCTCCCCTGTCTGCCATATAACACCCCTCATCAAACAGTAACACAGAATAATCAACAAAAATCACCCAATATAATTCTTTTAAATTTCTGATTTAACAAAACAAAGAATTCTACTTTTCCGGGTTCTAAACCAACCTGTAAAAGGAGAGAGGAGAAAGAAAAGCCACGGTTTTTTTCTAAATTATTAGGGCTGTGGACTGAAAGTCTGAAACCCTAGGCTAAGCATGAGTGTGGGAGAAAGGGAGACCATGAGCAAAGCAATAAATGCAAGAAGAAAGAACCAAAAAAAGGCCATTAAAGAACAAAAACCAAAAGGAAAGAGCAAGATCTGCCATGGGGTTTCGCATTAATTGCGTTCTCAAATACGAAAATGGCCAAAAACCTGTTGTTTGTAACCATTAGCAGAGTGGGGGATATACACACACACTAACAAAAAGAAAAACGAAAGGGAGAAAAAAAAAAGCACAAACCTTTAGATCAAGGCATTGTTCGCAAAGGTAAGGAAGAGAGAGATGTGAATTGAGCTCCAAGCTAGTGCCAGAGACGGTGTTTGAAAGGTTGTTATCATCTTCTGACCTCCTCCCTATTATCCCTTCTTCAGCAGCAGCAGCCCCACCACCGTTGCTTCCGCCTCCTCTTTCGTGGTTCAGATAACAGTTTTGTAAAGATTTCTCCAGTGATTCCGTGATCGTTGCCATGTTCGGTGCTGTCATTCGATGACTCGAAATCCTATTAAAACAACGAAACGAAGATGAATTCAAACAAGCAAAAAGGGAGATGCCTGGTGATGTGGGATTATGAATGAAAACACCATGAAACAAGGAAGGGGAAAGATGGTGGTGTTGGAGAGAGATGAAGTAATTAATAACCCCGAAGGTGGAGCCCCATCTGCCACCACCAGAGAATCACTGTGGGTTTGCATTTTGTATCTCACATCTGTGTATTCTCATTACGCGCACCAGAGACGCGTAGTTTAGGGTTTGTGTAATATGTTGGGGATATTTGAATCCCAAGTTTTAATATGACTATTTCAAAACAAAATTAATATTAAAATTAAAAATAATATTGAGTGCGTGTTGGGGATAAAATTTTAGGGATAAGAATAAAAAATAAAATAAGAGTTATAGTCTAATTATTAAATAATTAATTTAAAAATTAAAAATTAAGATGCCAATATTTTAATTTGTTTAATTTTAAAATTAATAGAGATTAACACGAATTTTGTATGTATATTGAAAACCAATTTCCAAACAACAACGAAACATAGATATTTTGTTGTGAGGGTTGCGTGTATAACCTATTTAAGTAAAATGTGTGACATAATCTGTTTCATGTAAAGCTAATTTATTTATTTATTTATTTTTCATTCAGATATCTTTCATAACTATTATTATTAATTTATGAATAGATTAATTTAAACTAAATATTATAAAATTTTATTTAAAGAATATTCTCTTAATCTCATTTAAATAAAAATAGACAAATTGTAAAAAAAAACATCTACGACCATCCTCTTTTGTTGTATAATAATTTATAATAATTTTTTTTGTATGTATGCCATGGTAGTAGCACTACTATGTAAGGATAAATTACATAAATGGTCTTCCAACTATAGGATACTATTTTGTTGAGTCATCCGACTATTAAAAGTTATAATCATCAGACTATTCATATGTTTCAAACTCGTCCTTTCTGTTAAAAAATGGCAATCGTTTGAGATAGATGTTAACATGATGACTGATATATGATCAAATATTATCCCAAAATCGTTTTAGCTGTATTTTGTGGATTGAATCTCTGTTTATATTATGTTGTCGAACCAATACTTGAGACATTATGTTGGTAAGAAAGTGTTTTAATGCAATGGCAGTACTGGTAAACATTATTAAAATATAATTTTATCATATCTCACTCAACATGTTAACATAAAGCTTAAACAGATGTCGATTTTTAACGAAAAATGATGATTTTGGAATATATAAATAGTTAGGTGATCATTTTTATAATTTTTAATAGTTAGAGAACTCAACAAAACATCTTATAGTCGATGATCATTTTATAATTTTTAATAATTATGAAATTTATTAAAATAATATTTTATAGACGTTGGATCATGTGTGAACTTTATCCACTGTATAATTGGGAATATAAAATAATGAAATTGTTGTCCTGTGAGTTTCCCAAGTCATTCCCTGCACGTTAACTGACGTGATGGGTTTTCAACTTACATTTAATAGCATGGAGTGTCGGCCAATGCGTTTTGGCTAACCATATGCTTCTTTCTTTCCTACTCTAATGCTACTTAATTAGTTTAAGTAGGGATTGACCTAAAATTAAATATTGATATGGGTTAAAATATTAAATTATTTTAAAAAATACAAAGATTTTTTTAGATATTTAAACTTGAAATTTAGCATGAACGAGTTACTTTAGTGATTAAGGGGATTGTTGTTATCCTTGAGGTCTCGAGTTCAAGCACTGCATATGTAAGGGTATGAGCGTTCATTGTCAAATAGTTGAAAGTATTTGTACATATATTACCTTGTATTCACCTTAAATTTATAATAAAAAACTCAAAATTCACAATACAACCTATAATTTGTCTAATATTTAAACTTACAGTAACTTAAATTGTAATTAGACTAAAAATTTGAGAACATGTACTTATCTTTATTTAGTTCGAAGGGCATTTCATAATTCGGAGGTCTCTTACGGAAGCTGCTCTCAATCTGGTGTTGGGGGTAGCCTACTATCTTACCTCCCCTTACCCCATACATATGGGAAAAAAGAACAGCCATTTTTTTTTATTTTTACATAAACCAAAATACTATTAAATCAAAATTATATCGAATATACAAATTTCAACAAGAACCGGACCCCTTGTGCCATAATAGAGCTCCTTCCCTGAGCTTAAGTAACAGGCTCTCTTTTCCCTATATGTCAACTTAAAATGTCATACAACCAAATATGTCCAAACAAAAAAATATTTGATAAAATAAGTATTGGTGTCTCCAATGTATGAATTACATACATACAAACAAAGGATCAAAGACATGATATGTGGCGTGGGAACCTGTCGTAAATTTCAAATCATAACCTCGAGTCTTTATATTAGGGACATGAATAGCATTCTCGATCCTATAAGATCTAGCTTTTTTTTTCAAAAAAGGAAAAAAAATTCAAATTTAGATCTAAGATGAAAGATATGTTAAGAATTAAGATGATTTAAGAAAATGATATTTATATATATTTAAAGATAATTATAATAATATTTCTATATTTTTTCAATAAATTTATATTTTATCTAATAAAATCATAACCGCCGTTAAAAATCAAACCTTAAATATTAGACAAATCAAACCTTCACTTGTTTTTCACATGCATTCACTGACATCACTACTCATTACATGCACTCCCACATTGGAAATATTATAATAAATCAACTTATTTAATTATCGTCTAATTTTATAAGAATTAATTTGTTATATATAAATCTATCCTAATTCTTAAGTTGGACCAGACTTCAAAATTATAAATACTATATCAAACTGTGAGAAAGGTGCTATTATATCAAAACAATTATTGTATTTTCATTGACAAACCAGTGAAGAATTACATGGTTTATGTAGCACTTGGTTGCTGAACCGAGAAGCAAACTTCCTAACAAATTTTGACAAATATAACCGTGTAACAACATCCTAACAACCTATGGTTCTGATTGTCTGCAACCCAGCATACACCATCAACTATGGGCTTAACTACAAGCTTCTTGAATCTTCTCCATGCACACCATGCAGCATACCCTGGAGCTCGAGCAATGTTAGAGCATGATCATTGATGCTCACTAACTCATTATGCTAACACAAACTGACTTGATACATACTACATTTCCATTTCGATATTAAATCATTTTTCTTTTATCTATTAATCATTTATAGAATGATAAATGACTCGTGTTACGTATATAGTTATTAACATTAAATCTTATATTCAAATTATATTATTTATGGTGAAAGAAGGAGGGAGAAAAAACTCATCATTCTCTCTCAGTTTGTTCCATCTGTTTACAAAGTCATTATGAGAGATAGGCTCCCATGCCATGCATGATATTTACGTATACAACAATATATGCCCCATTGTTGTATTTCCCCCCTTAATCATACAATTTTCTTACTGTTTTCACTGTCCCTCGCCATCAAAACTTTCATGTAAACATCTCCATTTCCCACAATATATATCATATTATTTGGAAGTTTGGTACTAAAAGAAAATAGACGTGCGTATCACGTTATTTAAAGCAAAAACAAAGCCTGTATGTCACGTTAGCCACTTAAAAGATTATGATTAAATTAAATAATAAGATGGGGTCAAATAACGGTGATGATGAATAAGGATACTATGCATAGTGAATAATATTATAGCTATAAGATTTCGGTATCATCAAGTGATCCCCGTATGTGCAACTCTAGACCATGCACATCGAATGCAAGGTTTGCAATAGTAAAATCATCACAACATGTGGGTGTGAAATTGAGGAAAAGCTTTTCAACCTGGCGTTGGAGGCAACCTACTATCCTACCTCCCCTTACCCCATTACATATGGGAATAGGGTCAGCTATTTTTTTTAATTTCTCAAAACAAACGTGTGTATAGTAAACTAAACTAACTTTTTAATATCATATTAAACTAATATTTAGGATTTTAGGGTTCAAAATATCATCACATTGATATAATAAAAACTAAATTAAAATTTAGGGTAAATTATAAATTTTACCACTTACTTTATTTTTCATTCCTATTTTGGTCATTAAAATTTAAAACTTTTAATTTATTCTATGAAAATTTTTATTTGCTTATATTTTAGCCACTTGAGTGTTAAATCATAAATGGAAGAATAACATGACAGTCAATTGTGATGATGTGGACTATTTTTTTTACATAGAACCCATGTGTCATTTCCCCTATTATTTCTTATCTTATACCTTCAAAGATGAAACTTTTACAGTTTTGCCATTGTGTCACGTCGACACTACAACTACTATTCTATGACGTCTTCTTCAACCACTCAAGATATCGATGAACTTTTCTCATTATCTCTGAACACTCTATCAATTTAAAACTTTCCTAGATGATCACCTTAATACTCACAAAACTCACCCATAAACTCAAAATTTATGAATACTCAAACGACTTTGATCTATATTATATACCATTCGATCAATTTGGAATCAATATATACAACTTGCTTCCTCATTCTCCACCTCCCGACCATTGAAGTTTGAAAAAAGATGCTTTATCATTGAGAAATCAAACGGAATTCGAAACTAGGATTTATATATATATAAAAGAGTTTTGATATCATTTCATAATTTTCAGAAGAATAATATTCAATCACAACGAAATCAACAAAATAAGAACAAATCAAAAGTTGGTTTCGTGTTGGTCAATCGGCCTTGATTTTATGTGGTTTTGTGGGTTTCTTTTGTAAGACAATGTTATGATTATCGCATGTTTGTGGTGTACTCTTTTTCCTCCAATAGGTATTAGGGAGTTTTTTTTAATGAGGTATATGTTTTGTGTCGTACTTTTTTATGTTTCGTTCTCTTAATAACATGCAATGTACATCCATTTAAAAAAAATCAAAATTTTAGTATGTAAATTAAAAGATTAAATTTTAGCGAACAAAATAAAAAAAAAAATTGAATGATAAAATTTATAAATAATTCTAAAATTTAATATTATAATGATATCAGTTTAAAATTTTAATGATAAAATAAAGTGAATCACGTAAAGTATAAATATCTTGTTAGAATGTGCTGGTTGACTAATTTGAAAAAAGCACATTGTTGGTTGTTATACTAGAGAACGAGAGAAGGAATATTTGAATTTGATGGGGGTGGAGAGAAAAGGGAAGCAGCTTTTGAGGAGGGCTGGGTGCTGCTAGCTGCTAGCTGCAGCCATTGTTGTGAATGGGTTTATTATTAAAATCACTTCCCATAACAAACATTAACGAAGAATAGAGAAATGGGTCATCCTGTACAGTTAATTTGGGTGGCAAGCACATGCTCTTTAGCCCACGTTTTCGATTCTCGAGACATGAGGGAAACACCATCATGCATGCCTAACCACCCCCTTTCAGTTTCTGTTTAATTACTCTTACTCTAATCTTGTTTATTTGACACATTTCCACGGCATTCGCATTAGCATGCAATGTTTTTTAAACTATCTTTCTACACCTTAATCTGATTATTCCCAGCACACTGCTGACATCTGCAATTTCTAAAAGAAAAAGAAAACATTTGAGTAGCTCCGCAGGATAATGTTATAGGTAAATACATAAATGGTCATGTCTTAATTAATGGGTTAAGGTTAATTCAGATTGCTGTCATTTTTTTTAACAAAAAATAATGAATTTAGAACATATGATTAATCAGATTTTTTTTTTATAATTTCAATAATCGATGACAAAACAAAACAATGCATATAATTAGAGAATCATTTTATAAGTTTTAATAGTCGTGAAATCATTTGTATACTTTACTCTTTTATTATAAGGATAGATGTACATCGAATGATATAATCGTTAGTGGAGATTTAATGAGTTAAGAATAAAATGGAGTAAATGATTATTTGTAATTTTTCTTTTGATTTTGACAAAGAAATATCAAAATTTTTCCTAACCTCAATTCATATAAAGATAAATAGATAGTTCTAGATTTTTTCTCTTGGAGAGAAAAGATAATTTATATATTTTGTATCTTACGTGTCGCATGGTGAAATGAGATAAGAGAAAATGTCTCTATGACGGATGCCATTCGTGTAATAATAAACATATTTTATTAGTCTACTATATAATGATGAAACGACTCTTTATTTCGAGTTGTCTTGTCTATCACTTATTATATTGATGAATTATTGTTGATATATGACATGCTATGGTTAATTATAAAGAGTTATCGTTTTAGAATAGTACCTTTAGAACGAAAGATATAATACAATAGTAAATTGAGTTGAGTTATTAAATATTTTTAAGAAAATTTTCTCTCATCTACACTATGATGTGATCTTTTAAAACTATTAAAATCTAATGTAAATATAAGATGTTAAGATCATAGGATATACATGTGTGGGGAACTTGGAAGCAAATACCAGGATGTAAAATCAGGTAATCGTTCAGGTTTCAGTCGGGTACTGTCAGATTATGTCAAATCAAATACAAGTCGTATTAAGTCAATTTGATGGTTTAACTCGGTTGAGTCCGGGTCAAATCAATTTGTGTCATTTTCATGTTGATTTTATCATCATATTCAGTTCGAGTTCGGATCAAGTTAATTTCAGTCGGATCGATACCAGTTCATGTCAAAAAGATTCAGGTTCGAATCAATTAAATTCCAGGTTAATTCAAGTTTGGATGGACTTCAGGTCGGATCTCGTTCAGATCAGAACATGTCATTGACAGATAAAATTTAGGTTGGATCTTACCAAATACAGATTAACTTCAGGTCAGGTAATTTTTAGGTTAATTATTATTTTCGTCTTTCATGAACAATGAATTGTAATTTTTAATTGTATATGATTTAGAGTAAATTACAAAAAATGTAAATAATTGTGAGTCAATTCTAATGAAAATATAATTTTAAGGACTAAATTAAACAAACAAGAAATTACAAAAAAAAATAAACAACACGTGTGTATGAGAGACTAAATCAAAATATAAATAAGTATGAGTCAATTTCATATACAAATATAATTTTAAGGGCAAAATTGAACAAATTAATATTTAAATAAATTACACAACACATAGGGACCAAATTCAAATAATTGCAAAATATGAAAATAAAATTAATATAAAAATGGACTGAAATTCATTCATTTTAAAAGTTGAGGAAAAAGTTAAAACAATTTTAATATATTATATATATATAGTATATATATAATATAAGTATACTTATAAGTATACATTATACATTATAAGTATATGTATAATATATATATAAATAAGTATACATTATATTTTTGATGTCTACATTATACTTAATGAGTATATATATATATATATAATAAGTATACATTATACTTATAAATATAAGTATAAGTAAAAGTATATATGTATGATGTATATACACACACACACACACACACACATATATATATATATATATATATATATATATATATATATATATATATATATATATATATATATAAAATTAAACATAAGTGACTAAAATAAAAGATTCTAAAATTAATATTCAATTTAATAATTGTGCACATTAAATAAATAGAAAATTAAAAGTAATTAGAATGTATACATTACTAAATTGCAATGAATTGAAAAATTTAAGAAAATACTTATAATTAGAGCATGACTGAAATGAATGAAATTAAAAACTAAATTATAAAATATAAAGCCACTAATTGTTAGAGGACTGAATCCCTAATTAAATCAAAAATCTATTGGGCGCAAACATTGTGTACATACATACATATGCAAAAGTCAAATTTCCTCTATTCCCCTAAAAGATCATTTTTCCCTCTTCCTTTTTCTAAATTTCCAAAAAAAATCAAATTTTTACTAAAAAAATAACATTTATTTTAAAAAATTCTCCTACCACACATGTATTTATATATATATAAAGTATATTTATTTTAAATTAATGCTTAAATTTTAAATCTCAAGTACATTCATCTTATATATATATATATTTTAAAATGTTAAGGTAAATTATATTTAAATTATTAATTAATTAGTACATAATAATAAATTCAAATTATAAATATTTAAATTAATTTTATATAATCTAATAAAATCATGTTAAATAATAAATTATTTAATGAAATTAATTTAATGATTATAATTCAGATTTAAAATATAAGGATTATAATTAATATAAAAAGTAAATTTATTAATTTAATTATCATAACTAACCATTTGTTTTAATTTTTAAAGAGTAATCATATTAATTATCATAGTTTATTTAATTGTCAAAAAATTATCATAACTAATAATTTATTTTAGTAATCATATTAATTATCATGGTTTATTATAAATTCAAGATCTCACAATTTTATCAATTATAACTTATAAGTCAAATAAATATCAGTTCAGTTTAATAACAGGTCAGATCATTTACAAGTTGAGTCAATTATAAATCAAGTTGATAACAGGTCGGGTAATATCAGTTATTTAAAGGTTAATATCGGGTTTGATTTCATATCGGGTTTGATTTCATACCAGGTCAGATGCAGGTCGGGTTCAGTTATCACATTATTAGGTTCAATTCGGGTTCATGTTGTTCTCAGGTTGGGTGCATGTAGTAAATTTCCAAGTCGAACTCGGGTTCAAGTCAACACCAGTTCTGACTCGAACCGATTTCGGATTCCACCACCACGGGTCATAAACAGTTTTGACTCAAATTGGTTTCAATCAGTTTTACAGGTCGGATAAATGTTTTACATCCCTAGCAAATAGTGAAACAGAAGGAAGCAAAGAGGGGATGTGATGGGGTTTTAGGGGCTGTTTGTTTGCCTCTTAATGGAACCATTCAGCGCTGAATGTTGAACCATTCAACATTCAGTGCGTTTGTTTCGCAAATGATTCAGTGCTGACTGATTTAGCAAAACAGTGCTGAATGATTCAGCACAGAAGTACATTCTGAATGATTCAGAGCCATTACCAAACAACATGTCACATTCAAAGCTAATTCATATAGAGCCTTTGAATCATTCAACATTTGAATCATTCTGAAGTAAACAAACAGCCCCTTATTGTTAGTCTGGTTTTAAACATTCCAATTGTAGCTTTAAACTATGTTGGGATAGGTAGACATTCCCCATAAACCTCTCATTAGGTCTTAAAAAGGACCTTTTTGTGACATTCTAAAAAGTAAAAACCTCTACACACTCATTTTCTCCTTGGAACATGCCCTAAAGGTGTCCTGGCTGGATATTTAATTCCCCCATTACAAAACAGGCGGATCAAACTGACTGACTGACCACCATCTCTTTCTTTATCTCCCATCATCCTCCTCTTGCTGGCTGCTGCGCAACTATTTCATTCTCCACAATCTTCCAAACCAAGAGAATTCATGGAAAGTGAGATTCACAATGTTTATTCTCCTTGTCGTACTCTGATATGCTCACAATGAAACATAAGACGACAGCGTTTCGCCTCTGGTTAATGGTTCTCGCCCATGGCTTATGTTGAGAACTTGACATCAAGAGTAATCCGGGGAATCGTTATCTTCTTAATCATCTGCTTCTTCTCCTTCTTTTTTCTCGCTATAGTTCACAAAAGGTGTTTGGGATTTTTTCTGGTTATCAGATATGACCATGGTTCCTGCCGAAAAACTTTCCAAACAACATCATCTTCCTCACGACGGCGGTTTTTATGGTTTTGATTGCGGTAGAAGTTACACGGAGAGTTTGGGTCTTATGAGAAGTGTTCACGGGCATGACTATCAAAACGAAGCTTACTTAGTAGTATCTGATCTAGTAGTTGCTAATTCCATGGCTGAAGATGAATCGAGGACTAACAGTGATAACAATAATCAAGAACAAGAAGAACGAGATAAAGGTTGGCTCCAACTCAGTATAGGGGGTCAGACTCAGGCAACAAGAACATACGATGAATATTATCACAACAAGAACGGACGAGGAGGGTCGACGTTGACGGAGCTCGGTCTATTACCCGGTGGTGGCTCACAGTCACCAGAAGCAAGGCCATTAGCCCCTTTTTTTCGCATGCCCGAGTTTCGACCTCCACCACGTCCAACGGTTATCAATAGTTTTAGTACTTTATTCCTTCAACAACACCAGCAAGGAAGTAGCTCCATGATCCCTCATCATGGGGAGATTAACCGGGCATTTAAGCCGATCGCACCGAGTTCTTCTTCTTCTTCGTTGGCGCCCTATTTTGTCAGACCATTTCAGGTGCAATCAATGGATGTTGCCGGGCCGAGCTCAGAAGTTAGAATCATCGATCCTCCTAGAAGGCTCCATTCTGGCATTTGGTTTATGCTACAAGCATCACACAATCAGTAAGTACAAAACAATGTAAGGGTATTCAAAAGTATACCATGAAACTCACTTGGTAGCTTTCTTTTTCATTTCAGAGCAAAAGAACCATTCTTGCCTCAAATACCAAAGAGCTATCTGAGAATGAAGTAATTAAATTCAATTATTCCTGTGTTTATTCACGTTCTACTTTCGTGTTCATGGCGGTTCATCTTTTGTTTTTGTTTTGATTGTCATTAAGGGATGGGAAGATGACAGTGCGGTTAATAATGAAGTATCTGGCTAACAAGCTCAGACTGGATAGCGAATCAGAGGTATGTCAAACGCAACTCCATCTTCCATTTTTGTTGCAATTCTCGCCTGCTTTAGAGTAGCAAAAAAACATGAAACTAACTCATCGTTTTATCCCGTTAAACTGATTAGTTCATGGATTACAGAACTTGGTTGGTGTTAGGGACATGACAGAAACATTGGAACTAACACTTCCTGTTTTTCATCTTTACATGTCTGATAACATCATGTAGTGTAGGTGGCAAGTATATGTCTTTGGTACCCATTTTAGCCCTTATTTAAGATTGTTCCAATGTTTCCCTAACCAAGATAACTAGCAAGAAAGATTTGCTTTATGTTACATAATATGAATTATTATGAGGCATTAGTCGGCGTGAACGTAAGATTTTATGTTATAGGTGAATTTCTAAATTTTTTAAGAGAAATGAAAATAAATTATCAATAAAAATATAAAAAATCTAAAACATACGATAATTTGAAATTTTCAGGAGGCGATTTCCCAGGTCCATCCATGGGCATTTGGAACACATATAAGCTCTTGTTATTTAGTTTATTTATCATCTCGTGTACTTGATAGCAGAGACGAGAATCTTTGAGACAACATATTAATTATTTAGACTAAAATAATTGTTTCTTTCCTTGCACTTCATGCCAAGTTTGAGATCATGACAGTATCTTGTTTTTTATATTTGAAAAATCATAATAAAAACACACCTAATCTCAAACACATCATAACATGTATATTTAGGTGTTTTTATATGATTATAGAACTTTCACATTATAGTTAATAGGTCAAGTCAGGGCAACTCGGGTGCCATTGAGACGGCAAGCAAACTACTGGCATAAGATTTTCCATCATAGCTAGGGTTTTGTTTTGATTCTATGCCGCAGTGGAAAATATCCAACGATTAGCATTATCAGCGATTTTAGCGTAGATGTAGGACTATCTGCCTTCTCTCTCTCTCTTCGATGATGAGCAAGATTTCTCAATGAATAAATCATTCTTGCTACGACTTCCATCAATGGTTTTTGTCCCACAAATTTACTACTCTTTTACACCTTTTTGCTCTCATGATCATTGCCCATAATCTAGAGAGAAGCGTATATATATATATATATATATATATGGCTAAGGGTATGTTTGTTTGGCTGTAATTGATTTTTTGGAAAATAAATTACTGGAACTGGAAAATAAATTACTGAAATTTGAATTCTAGAAAATGAATTACATTTCTGGAAAATGTTTTCTGTAAAATGAATTACATTTTTCTGAAAAACATCTGGAAAACGTTTTATGATATTTGGAAGATGTTATTTAAACCTTTTGTTCCACTAGTTGAAGAGTTTTTTTTAAATTATTTATTACAAATATTAAATATAATAAATAATATTATTTATCATAAAACTTAATATTATTATTTTAAAATATTAAAATAATTTATTTATTATTAAATATTATTTTTATAATTTTATTAAAAAAATAATAATTTTTGTATATTTTAGTGAAATAAAATATCATAAATTATATTAATTATTTATTAAAGTAACAGTGTTATATTATATTTTAAAAAATATTAATTAGTATATTTTAAATATCTTTATTAAAATATTATTAAAATATATAAATAATATTATTCATTATTAAATATATAAAAAATTTTATTATATATTATTAAAATATAATATAATATCTTATATTATATTATTATAATATAATTGATTATTTTATATAATATTAAAAATATAATATTATATTATTATAAATATTAATAAATAAATAAATAATATTTTGATAAAAAGGATATTAAAATATTTTATTAATATTAAATTCATAAAATAAAATTATTTTGAGTATTTATTCTTTGAAGTAAAAAGTTCGGAAAATGACTTACGGAAAATGAATCCGTAAGTCATTTTACAGAAAACACAAAAGAAATTTTATTACTAGGAAAATGAATTACATTCCGAAAAACCAATTACGTGAAACAAACACGGGAAAACATTTTCCAAAAAACGAATTACGTTAAACAAACACGGGAATTTAGGGAAAACCAATTTTGTAATTCCAATTACGGCAAACAAACACACCCTAATTTTCATCTACCTACAAATTTGAATATTATAAATACGAAAAGATAATATTATAGGTTCTTTATCTTATTCAAAAATTTAATCTGATCTAATCATGAATATAATTGAGCTCTAAAATACTTGAAGGAATGCAATAATAATCACTATATTATATGGTAGCTAGGAAGGCAAAAGAGAGGTGTCATAGTGCACTATGCATTGAGATAAAAACAATCTCATCTTTTGATTTGTATCTCGTCCTTAGTTGACTTCTTGTAAAAAGTTAGAGTGCTGGACTTTTTACCCAAATATCACCTAAACAAAATTTAGTTCTCGATTTGCATACTAATTCCTAAATTAGCACCCTTTTTTTAGTAAAGATGACACATCTTTAAAGATTGGATCATGAGTTACTCAAATTTCTCATTATTTAAATATTATTTTTTATATGTTTAAATACAGTCATGTAAACATGCAACTCATCGAGAGATTAAAGAGAATGCTAATCCACAACCGTCACAGTCATTTTGGCCCAACCTATGACTAAACCCTTGTGACCATATAATCATGATTGCTAAAGACGTGATCTATTCGAGTGTGCGTCTGACGTGATACTCTTTTATCTAGGGATGGCAAACGAGTGGAGCGAGTGTGGATATCCATTCTCCTATCCCATCCTCATACCCACTTAATATTTTGGTATCTACCATCTACCCACCACCTACGATAGGTAAAAATTTTAAATCCACATCCACCCACGTGAGTACATTCTCAAATCCACCCCCACACCCACTACCCAACTGGATACTCACCACTCATCTCGTACCCGCTTATACCCTCTCATACCCACCTGACAGCAACCTCACAGATTATATAAGCAACAAAACATAAAACAAACATGTTCGCATAATAAAATGTTTATACCCTAAAATTTGGTTAAATTACAAGTAGATTTACAGAATAGTATCTAAAATTATAATAAATTCATAATGGTCTAAAACTTATATGGTAGGTAGTTAGTGGGCGGGTGGATGTAGGGTAGGCGAATGCTGGGCAGATAAGGTCTTAGATTCATCACCTATCCGCTACCTATGGCAGATATGACTTTTTACATTCACACCCGCCCACTACCCACTAAACGTATACCCATTTCTGCCCCAATTGAAACGAGTGTGATGCGAAATTCACGAAATTGTACCCTTCTGCCATCTTACTTTTACCCAATGTGAAAAAAATATATCAATCCAAAAAATAAGCTTAAACCGGTGTTGGTTTCGAAAATAAGTTTTATCAAGGGGTTATTTTTGGTTAAAAAAAGGCTAAAGGCTTTGAAAATAAGCACGATGTAAAATCAAATCTAGGATCAAAAAAATCACACGTGGACCCCGTCATTCTCAAAAACCCTCCGTCTTCTTCGTTATCTCTTCCCTCTCGTCACGCTTTCGTTTCTTTCAGCTCAGCATCCGGAGAGATAATTGTAGGCCCTCTTCTTTTCCTTTATGCTCATAGATTGTGCTTAAACATGGCCATAAAAATAACCTTAAGTGCACCACTTTGATGGAATAATATTTTGTAAAAAGACCTATCAATAACACCAACCCCACATATTTTACGTCGGGGTAAAGCAATGCATGAGGGGCTGATTTCCACAACAGGATCATTGCCCTAGTTGTTGAAAAGGAACAGACAGATAAGAACCCCTCCATGAAATGACTTCTTTATTTGTTGGTTTAGGGTTTGCATGCAGCATTAAATATTAGTATTTTATAAAATTATATTTGAGAACTTCTCATTTGATGTTTTTGAAAGAATCTCTCTTATGTTTAAATGAGATGAGGTCAAAATTAAAAATTTTAACCTTTTTAACATTATATTGAAGGGAAACAAAAGAGACTAGGAATAAAGAAAAAGATACACCAGAATCAACTACGAGGGATATTGACCATTAATTTAGAATTAGGGTTTTATTTTGCAAGAAAGATACGTGAGCAAGACGTGCATGATATATGATTGGTAGACGTGCGTGAGATGAGATTAGTGTCTATGACGTATATTTGGGTAGGTTTTATATTTTAGTTTAATTGCATTATATAAATAGTTTTATAATATAAAAGTAAGTATTTCAGTTATATATATATATATATATATATATATATATATATATATATATATATATATATATATATATTATTTTAGATATTTAAAAAAGTATTTGAAATAATTATCTAGCATTTCATTATCTTACTATTTCAAGATCGAACCGTCATTATTCATAGAAAATTTACCATCCAATGAATATATGAAATGTGATCTAATTCTTCTGTCGTTGAATTTTATTATCAATTATCTCATTCTCTTGTCTCCTCATTTGTAAGGACCCAATTACATTCTTCTCTTTGTGAGAGAGTAATATAAGATCTGAGGCATTTGATTTATTCTTTATGAGTTCTTTAGTTCTTTGTTCTTGTTGCTTATCTTGGTGGTCAGGAGTAGCCACCTTCGTGTTAGTACTTCCACACGATAGTCTGACCTTATGACTCGGAGTAGCCACATTAGTGTTTATTTTATTGATAAATGAGACATCACAAATTATACATCATTATTTTATTGATAGCTAAAGAAAGAAATTTATAGGTTATTTATTTTTGCAATGGTGAGGTAACACTTAATGACGATAAGGTTAAAACTTTCTTTTAGAAATTAAGTATTCTAAAAATTTTAAATGATAATTAAAAAATTAAAATACAGATAATACGTTAAATAAGGATTAAATAATAGATTCTTTTAACGAATTTTATCAATTTAATTATTTAATTAAATAAAAGTATATACATATAAATTAGAAATATATAATTTAAATAATTATTTTTCATTTATATTGATTAGTAAAATAAGAGTATAAAGCAACAATGATTTTGGCTTGCAAGTGAACTAACTCTAGGTGGGTCCCGTAATGATTATTTCGGGCAGTTTAAGATCGTGGAATTAACGGGCAGGCTCGAGCGTGCTTGACCGCTTAGTCTCATTTGGCAAAATTTTCAGGATAAACTAGGAGTTTTAAACTCACTTGATTATATTTAAATAATTATTTTGATTAATAAACTTTTAAAAATTATAAAATAATCATTTAATTTTATTAAAATGTTATGAAATAATTATTAAATTTATCAAAATTTTATATTTATTATAAACAGTATAGCAATCATTTTATAATAATTTAATAGATTTAATAAGATATGTTATATTTTATCTATTTTTTATTATTGAAATTAAAATTATAATTTTATGAGTTAAGATATAATTTACCACTCTATTACGTTATAATTTTACGTTTTCATGATTAAACTATAGTTGTTAATTTTAAGAGATGAAAGTATAATTATGTTATAAATTAACTTACAATTTTATTACATTTAGAGGGACTTATGTACAAATGAAGTGGGGATTTGTGTATATGAAAACTTGTTGTGGTTGCAGATAGAGATAAGATGCAGAGGGCATCAGCTTGAACCATTGCTGACGTTGCAGCATGTAAGAGATCAAATATGGAGTTCAACTTCAAGACAAGCTCACTCTTTGCTTCCAGATTATACTTCAACGCCGCCTGATATTAACCATAATAATAACAATGTCATGATTCTGCATTATGGTAGGAGCTAGGGCTTCAAATATTCAAAAACACCCGCACTATCCTTATTTTTTTCATAATTTAATTGCTTCTTTTCTATATATATAATTGTGATGAATGAATGAATTCTTATATGGAAACTCTCCCCTTTTCCTTTTATTTTTATCCTCACCGTCTTCGTCTTATCGGTGGTGGTTTTAGATATTGAATGAAGGATCTAACATGTTCATGAACATGTTATAGTCAAAAAAAAAAAAACAAAACACCCACACACATTGTGAAAATGAGTGGCATCTTTGAAAAAAGGAAATAAAATCTCCTGGTGCTGAAAGCAACGAGATACATGCAACGTTGCCATTCGTATAGCCACTAGAATAAAGTTGAAAAGGCTCACAAATATGAGCCACAAGACTTTGCATGTGCAGCACTATATACAAAGTATATGTATATGTTCATAAATAGATAGACAGACGGTAGGATCCAACAAGTATTTCATGATGAAAAACACATGCAAAATTGGAGGTATGGGGCAAATCATGAACATATTCGGGTTTGTGTTGTTGCTGTTGAGCGTGTCGATGGTGGAGCAAACAGAGGCGAAAGGTTACGAGATGCCACCCAACTGTGGTCACCTCGAGTGTGCTCCGTACAGAGTTATTCAAAGCCGGCCGGAGTTTGAGATAAGAAGTTATTCGAAGGCTATATGGGTGGCTACTTCCCCCATCACCTCTTCCTCCTACAAGGATGCTGTTTCCAAAGGCTTCAAAATGTAAGGACACTAACAACGTATATATATTTGTTGTTTGACATTAATTATATATCTTCTTTTAATTTGGGTTTTTTGTTTTCCTTGGCTAGCCTCCTTGCTTACATTCGGGGCAACAATGAGGAAGCAGTGAAAATGAATATGACAGCACCAGTTCTGGTAAACATACATCCGACCACTGGAGGTCTCCACAACTTAACCTACGTTGTTCACTTCTACATGCCTCAAATATTCCAAAGAAACCCTCCCAGATCGGCCGAAGCACAGCCGGTGGAGCTGCCTCCGAACAAATTTGCAGCAGTGAGGAGATTTGGGGGCTTCATGGATGATTCCAATATCTCTGCGCAAATATCAGCCCTGAAGAAAAGCATCAAAGGCACTTCTTGGGAATCGAATAAACGCAGTGGCAGCCGCTCTATGCAGTACAGTGCTGCTGGTTACAACTCTCCCTTCGAATACGAGAATCGTGTGAATGAAGTGATGTTATGGTTCGATTAGCTTTCATTAATCCTAGACAAAAGGATATGTTTCCCGAAGCTATAAAAATATTTTCTTGTTTCCCACGCATTCCTCTTACTTGCAATTGACATCAAGATTACAAAGCTTCATTGCTTCAAAAATGAACGCGGTACAAGTTCAGAACACCGTTACCAACTTTGCAAACTGATCAAAAATGTTATATCAATAAACAAAAAGCATTACCAAACAGAATCCAGAGAATCCTCTAGTTAACACAAATAACCCAAAGTTCAACAACATAACCAAAAAAAAAAACCCAGCGACATTTGAAGAAGAAAACTTTAGAACTCCAAGTTACCAACAAACAAAACTTAGCTAATCAACAGAAAGCTGTCGCCGCTTGTAACGAACCATCACTTTTCCTTTCACACCAACCACCATAGCATTCCAGTCAATCTCTGGAAACGGTGACACAAGCTCCAATTCAAAGTTCCTTAACAAATGGCTCCATATGGCCTTTATCTGAAGGTAAGCAAACGGTTCACCGAGGCAACCGTGCCTTCCACCTCCAAAGGAAATATATGAGAAAGCCCCAGCTGCCTTGTCTTCTTCCCTCCCAACAGAGAATCTATCGGGATCATATGTGTCTGGATCCTTGTAAATGTGAGGAAGCCTGTTGGCAAATGCCGGTGATGTTGCAACAATGTGACCCTTTGGGATGTCGTATTCTTTTCCATCTCGGGTTTTTACACTAAAATCACTGTGTGAGCTACGCAAAAGCATAATCAGTGGAGGATGAAGTCTCAGAGCTTCTTTAATGCACCGATACAAGGTGTCCATCTCAGACAAGATATCATGATCAACCTTGCTTCCATGCTTTTGCATTAGTTGGTTCTGCTCCTCGAGCACAGCAGATAGGAACTCCTTGTGACGAAGAAGATAAGCACCGGTCCACGTAGAGGTGATAGAACTGGTATGCTGTCCGGCAAAGAGAGCAGCAATGAGTAAGCCGGTTACTTCAGCCTCGGTAGTTGGGCGACCATCTTTATACTTAGATTCAATGAAACATTGCAACATGTCATTCTCTGACTTGCCAGCACATTTGCGGGAAGCTATGATATTTGCAAAGATATCAGCAAGCTTCTTTCGAGCTCGGTCACGACGGCGATGAGCAGGGATAGGCAAGTAAGGGAATATAACACTGATGGGGAGCATTCCGTTGTCAAGATCATGGAAGAGTGCAGAAACATCATCAAAAAGTTTATCGCGCACTTCTCGACCCAAGAGACACCTACTAGCAGTCAAGATGATGAGATGCTCCAATTCATACTTAAGGTCCACCTCACCACTATCCCCCCATTTTAAGAAGTAGTCCTGCCCAATTCTATAATGATTAAACCAAGAAATCAAATCTATATAGAGTTACAACATTATGAACTTATGTAACAGTGAAACCAAACAAGGAGCCTTGAATTTAGTGAAAAAGACGATAAAATTTTCTATTCACTAGCATGTCATTCAACCTCCCAAACCAAATGTACCAATGTTGATTATCCTTTACTTCCTTTTTATTCATCAAAATAATATGGAGAGTAAATCATTAACACCGACCCACCGAAGCCCATTATTTTTCATTCATAAACGAAAGAAGAGCAGGAAGATCCACAACAACATGAAACTCGATGCTTGAGTTGATTTTAAAGAAAGCAATATCAACATTCACAATAGAAGTATTAGCAATGTGCAAATGATACTTCAATCTTCAGATATGCACAGTGGACTCCTAAGAAGTCTACCCAATATCGCAAGCAAGCATAATCAAGAACGAAATAAACAATATACTTTTATTCAACCGAGTTGGTCCATTAATCATCCACCAAATGCAAAATCTATCCATGTTGGTTCATTATCCATTGACATAGTATCAAAGTGTAACATAATATAAACCAAGTTCGTAGCAGATCACTCACCTCAGCTTCTGTAACCATCTGATCAACATAACCCTTAAGTTTGTTAACTCTAAGGGCTTCGGTAAAGAATCGGAATTGCTCTTGCCTTATCGTGTAATCCACATCAAAAACCACACCGGGTCCAAAGGTTGGCACATTGAACTGATAAACTTCCTGTTGGCTGAGGTCTGATTCTGAAGCCTTAAAAAAGTGTGCTGAAACTTCAGGCCCAATCAAGAAAGTTATCTTCTTGTTACACAAGTTCAAAGTGAAAACACTGCCGAGCTTCGGGTACTCCTCCCGGAGCATCACAACAGGGCCTTTCATGAATCGAAGCAGCCCACCGATTAGCGGCCAGGTTTTGACTACCGGTGGCAGACGTTTCCTAGATCTAGGCATTATGAGGAAAGATATGAGCTTGGCCACTACTAGAGTGGCTACGATAAGAATACCCATGTTCAAAAGCTTATCGTTCACTTCCATGGCGGCTCCGATTTGATAATTTCCTATCAATTATCAGTTAAAAGTTAAAAAAGTGAAAATTATGAAACTTGAGAAGAATCTTTAATGAACACTCTTATTGAGTGACTGAACTCCAGCATTGAGCATTTCAATAATCAAAAGGGAATTAAAAAAAACCAATCGTTGTTAAAGAAAATGGGGAAATTTGCTCTGGTTTTATACTAATATATTCTGCTATACAAAATGTTTTCTTTTTGCAGGAAATCAACAGAAAAATATATGACGGAAAGCCCAAAGAGAACATCAACAAAAGAAATATAGATTAATAATCCCACTAATAATGTAAAAAGGGAAGAGTGATTACCTGATCTGAGATGCAATTGTAGACAGAAACGAAAGGAAAGTCACATGAACTATAAGACAAACACCAACTGAGAGAATCGCCACGGAAAAGAAATATCCAAATTATAAATAGTTAAAGCAATGGTGTCGTGGGTGGGGAAGAGCGATTGCTCGTATCATTTTGTTTTTTTTAGGCTTATTATACAAATTGGTACCTGAAATTGACAAGTTTTCTCATATTGGTACCCGGATTCTTTTTCTCAAATTTAAATGAAGATTTCATTAAATATTATATGTCACAATTTGATTGGTTGTTGAAATTCCAGATCAGCACCAAGTACCGATTTGAGAATTCTTACCAAGTTTAGGTACTGAATTTGAGGTAAAACAATATTTAGATGATAATTTGAGAAAGGTATCCAAGTCCTAGCACCTATTAATAGAATAAATCCTTTTTTATTTGCATCGTCTTTTGTTTTCTTTTTAGGATTATTCTAAAAACTGGTACCTAAACTTGGAACCCTTTTTCAAATTAGTCATAAACGTTTTTTATATCTTAATCTGGTATCTGAACTTGGTATTTTTCTCTCGAATTGGTATCTCAATTTATAGTCAATTACTTCTGAATTAAAGTTTTGTGGGAATATGAGCTGTTCAAGTATCGTGTCACCAAAAAAAACCCCTTTACCATTCACATTCGCCAAATTTATGCCCTAATCATTTCTTCGTAAATATAATTACAATTGTCATATTCATATATATGTGGGTAAGAAAAATATTTTTAAATATATTTATAAAAAAATATGTAAATATATTTATAAAAATATTATTTAACAAATTATTATAAGTGGAGTGATAACATGTTTGTATATAAATTTATTAGTCTTTTATGTGAATCTGAAGTAATAAATTTATTTTATTTTATTTAAATATTATAATAAAAAATAATTATTATCAATATTTAAAAATGGTATTTTCTTTTTCTAATTGAATTTCTGTCCAATTAATTGTAAAATTGAAATTAGTTAGAATTTAAATATAATAATAATATAGATCCAAATAATGACGTCTTTAACTTGGGCCTGCATATGTAGGATTACTTCATTCACCGCATGTACATATAGGGATCGGCATGAAATTCAAATTCAACGGGTTTCGATCCGATTTGTTCGGGTCGTACTTTTTTAAATGTGATGTTTAGTTTGGGTTTAGGGTAAAAATACCCGATTCGACCTGAAAAAAATAATTTTACCTAATATATTTATGAATAATTATAATAATAACTCTCTATATATTATTTTTCAATTAAATCATTATTTTTATTGAATAAAAAATATTTTATTATTATTTAGAGTCGGGTCAATTTTTTAAGTTATATATCGGGTCGGGGTCGGGTCGGGTGAAATTTTATTTCAATCGTGTCGGGTCGAATATCGGGTAAAGGATTCTTTGTTCTCGGGTCAAGTCAGGTGGACCAAAAACTTGACCCAACCCGACCATGCCCATCTCTAGGTACATATGACTAATGGCTCAAAATAAGAATGAGTATGAGATTTGAATTTGATAAATTTTGAGTTGTTTTGGTATTCTAAAATCATATTTTTTAAGGATAAATTTTGTATTTAGTTACTAAGTTATCATTTTAATTTTATTTTAATCACCTAATAATTTCTTTAGATTTATTTCTAATATATATCTTATTATTTTTTATTTTTGAATGGTTAAAATAATAAATATATCATTTAAATTATTTTATTTTAATTTTTCAATGAGTGACTGTAGAACTCGATTTTTCAGATAGTACATTTGTCGACCCATGTCTCATACCGTAACTATCAGTTACCCGTCTATCCGTAAATTCTAAGTACTTGTAAAAGTGGGTATCTGGTTAACATTTTTTTTATTTTTCTAAATCCAAAAATTAAAAGAAACACATAGTTTATAATATGTAATCAATACACAAAAATGATTTGAAGTTAGTTTCAAAGATAAATATTTGAAAATATATATGTGTGTATATATTAAAGTTTATTTCTAAAAGAAAATATTAAAATATTAATGTCGATATTAGTTTTTTTCCCTTCGAAACTCATATTGACAAATTAATAAAAAATATTTTTGAAAATTTAAAACTTAATAGTATATAATAGAATAGAAAGAATTTAAGAATTTAAATTTAAATTTATGTTAAATTTTTTTAATGAATATTAAAATCTAATCCAATTAAATAATATTCTCAAATAACCAATTTAATTAAACTTCAAACTCTATCATTTAACAGATTTGAAAGCTCTATTTTTAGCATAATAAAAGCGACCCCGGGCGAGATGTTACTGGAAATTCCTAATTTTCAGTGTTGTGTGCAATGAATTCTGACGACACAAGCAATGTGTACCTGTAAATTAATTAATTAGTGCATTTAAATTTTGGGTCGGATATTGACATTTGGACTGGATAAGGGCAACAGGACAAGATGGATGGCCCCTCGAGTTTGCACGAGGTTTGACATTTGGGCCTTTTTCCTGCCCATTTTTATAATTTAACCAATTTGTTACTAAGTGGGTTAATTTACTTTTTGGTACCCAAACTTGATTTTGATGTTCAAATTGTTATTTACAAGTTTTTAGGTCCAAACTAATACCTGAACTTTTGTAAAAGGTCAAATTAGTACTCGTATTTTCCATTGAAAAGATTAATCTATTAAAATTTTGTAAGGACTATAATTGTAATTAAAACATTTGAATCAAGAGGGACTAAAGCCTTTGCATGTCAAATTGTGTGACAGAAATAAGATTAAATACATGTTAGGCAAGTTAGGAAAAAAAATATAAATGCATATTTAAATCTTTTAAAAGACTTGAGCTACCAATTTATACTAAGTACCAATTTGAACTTTAAAGATAACTACAAGTACCAAAAATTATAATAACCCTTATTAATATTTTAATACGACCCGCTTGACCTCAGAGTAAACGCTCACGGCCTCATGCAAAGGGATTAGATCAAAGTATAATAATACCTCATGAAATTGGGCTCTTCTACAACACAATACGCCAAACATATCACTGCTTTACTGAATTTAGTGTCATTAAATTATTTAAATATATATTATCTATAGAATATATTGTTTTTATTAAACTGATATAGCTTGTAGATAGAGATACGTATTTGACCCGAATTTAATGGATTTTAATTCAATATAATTTTATGTGATCGTTTTTTTAAATTAAATTTGAATTGGATTAAACTTTTTGAAGAATAAATTTGTATTAAATACAAATTTATTTATAATGAAATATATTTGACCCGATCTAGAAATAATAGTATAATTGACCTTATATATTTAAGGAGAACTATTATAATACTCATTTGGTTATATATATTTTAAATCAAGTATCTATTTTACCTAATAAAAATGAGAATATATATATATATATATGGGTGTGTCGATCAGATTAGGTGTACATTTTTATCTTAAATGTTAGGTCGAATTTTAGATCGGGTGAAACTTTCCTAAACTCGAATCGAGTGACAGATGGATGGATGTTATATTCAGATTGGGTTTGGTGGATCAAAACTCTAACCCAACCCGACCTGTAATCATCCTTGATTAGTTCTTGATTAATGTAAAATTAGATGATTATTGATCAATAGTTAATTTAATAAAATGTTATATTTTTGTAGGTAATATTAAAATTTTAATTTTAATGTTGTAAATAAAAAATAACTTAAAAGTCATCTCATAGTGAATAAGAAACAATATATGATTTGATTAACTAATCAATTAAATATAATAATTATAAAAATATAGTAAAATAATTGTATCTTTTAATATTTTGTAGGTAATATTAAAATTTTAATTTTAATGTTGTAAATAAAAAATAACTTAAAAGTCATCTCATAGTGAATAAGAAACAATATATGATTTGATTTAACTAATCAATAATTAAATATTAATAATTATAAAAATATAGTAAAATAATTGTATCTTTTAATATCGCATTATATCTTTTGAAAAACCAAGCTTACTTAACTACTATTTTGGTGGCATTATAAAATGGACAAGTTTCATACACGCTTGTTGATGGAAGCTTTTCGTTGTTTCGTTTTGGCCTGTCTTCATGCGGCTCTTATTCTCCAATTAATTCACGTAATAATTCTTGATATTTTTTATTTATTAACGAGTTATATTTAGAATTTATGATTTATTTTATAACGATGTAATTTTAAAATTTTGATTTAGATACTATTAAATCAGAGATAACGTTAGAAAAAATGGCACTGATGACAGAGTAAGCGGTGCTGGTTGGATTTGCTTAATGAGTCAATCCCGAGTCTCCAAGGAACAGCAACGAGATGAGTCAGACTGGACAGCCGAAAAAAAGGTCCTATCACTGTCGACGATCATTATAAGAACAACAACAGAAAAGCAAGAGGAAACCGAAAAACTTTGTAAAGAAGCTCAAAGAAATCATTTTTCTTTTGGCCTTTCAAGGAAAAAAATGAGAAGAAGATGATGCTTCTTGATTCATTCATCCCGGAAAAGTCACAGTTTTGAATAACAGCAGCAGTACCAGGGAATTTTTAATGCAAATGGAGGCCGTTTGTTGTTGATTTGGTCACCGCTCCAACCCTTCATCTCTCTCTCTCTCTCTCCTCGTCTTTCGTGCTGATTTACAAAAAAGAAGCACCATTGTTGCCGTTATTGACTCGCTTATTTCCTCCCCTTGTTCACTATTGAAACCCCGGAGCATGAAAACCCTTTGCTCTTTCTTTATGATTTCCCATTGCTTTCTTCTGTAAACCCAAACTTTCCTCGTTGATTTCACTTAAAGGGTCTGTTTTTTTAGCTTTTGTCACTGAATGCAGCAGCTCTTGGCCACCCTGATAACAATCCGTGTAATTGTTTGTGACCGCTACTACTCCTTTGCATGTTATAATAGCTTAACTCAATTCACTTTTGTTAACGATTTGTTTTGGGGGGTGTTGGTTTTGCAGATAGCAGATCATGTCGTTTTTACCAGCACGAAAGGGGAGACACAGACAACGGTACGAGGGTCATCTGAGACTTGTTGCTGGGTAATAATCTCATGTGCTTCCACTAACTTCCTCTCGTTTACGCCTCTTGTTGTTGTTTCGTTAATGTCAGCTCTGTTAAAGCTCAAATAGTGTTTGATATCTGAGGTGTTAAGAAATTAGTGGTGAGCCGTGAGCATGCTTTAATTCAATCGGCAATAATTTGCCAAATAATTGATGGTGATTTTACTTTTACGTGAATAGATATAGTACTCGATGATAAACACTCAAAACAGAGATGGGGGCCATTGCCTTCACTTTCCAATTTCCATGACCCTCCTGTTCTTGTCTTGATATTTAATATCTTCAAAAAGACTTTCTGGAAAACTCTTCCTTTTTAACTCATATTTACTGTTTCTGGTGCAAAAAAAAAAAAAAAAGGTGCGTTCCATACAGATTGCAGAAGGATATCGAGGATAGTAATGGCAGTGTGACTAGTAGGATAACTGTTCTAATGATATCAACGCCGAATCGTGATGATCTTGTCTTCCCTAAGGTATGGTATAATATACTTGACTTCCTGCTCCGTTCCCGTGTTAAGTGCTAAACTATTTAGTCTATGGTGATGTCGAGGTTGACGACTTGTATGTCATTGTTAGGGTGGATGGGAAGACGATGAGACGGTTCACGAAGCAGCGTGTCGCGAGGCCCTGGAGGAAGCCGGAGTCAAAGGAATACTCGATGTAGGTTTTGAAATCGCTTTTGGATACCAGAGTTCATCTGACTTTTTAAATTAACAGTGTTGTCAAATTAACCTGCATAATTGATGTTTTTGACAGTACTGCAATTTAGTAATTTAAAGAACATAGTTATCTGTGCTAGCTGTTCATGCATATTAGTCCACTGTCCATCTGAGTTTCTTGTTAGCATATGATTCCCCTGATAATTTGACTCGGTTCAATTGCAATGGGGTCAGTATTGGCAACTGGAGGCTAGAATTTGATGAAAATGGTGACGTACGTATGAATGGACTGAAACGTGTATAAATAAACATAAAATCAGGCTGTATATGATCTATGTAATGATGAAATCATCGAATATGGTCGAGCCGAAAACTTGAATTGCTCTTGAAGCAGTCAAAATTGTTATGCTGATGCTGCACGTGTTGCATTGCATACCTTATGGCGAGTTCAATGAGAATGGCCTGTTGAAATGATATGAATCTGTATAGAAACTCCCCTTTCGTTTAACGAGCAAGTCTCTGCATCTGTTCCGAGTTTCGACAGCATATCCGCTTTTGATGGTCCTGTAATAACGTCGTCATTTCCACTTCTTGTAGGAGGATCCACTGGGAGTCTGGGAATTTAGAAGCAAGAGTAGACAAAACTGCTGCAACATGGAAGGTGGTTGCCGAGGTTACATGTTTGCCTTGGAGGTCACCGAGGAACTCGACTCGTGGGCAGAGCAAACCAGTTACGAGAGGAAATGGGTCAGTAAGAAAACCAATGCACATTGCACATGTTACAGCCACATTTCAATGTTTATGACTGAAGCTGTTCGTGTGTTTTCACAGCTTTCCCCGGACGAAGCATATAAATGTTGCCGGTATGATTGGATGAGAGACGCTCTTCGAGTATTTCTAAGAGCCATCGAGGATGACCGGACGAGCGGGAGGGCAGAAAGGCTGGAGGAGCTCCCTATATTTTCGGCCGCCAATGCCATGACGGAGCATCAGATGTTAACATCAGCCGGTTACTCTGCAAAACCGCCGGCCGTACAGCATCTTGAAGAGTCTTTCACTAATAATAACTGTATTGTGCAGGGTTAACGAGCCTGGACATATGTTATCAGTTAGATGTTTGCCATCATTAACTGTTAAATACCGTGTTAATATCAAAAGTTTAAATTATATCAAGAGCTGTAATGTTTGTGGATCATATATGTTCATTTGGTGTTCTCGATTCCTACTTATTTGTTATCTTCTGTAATTTTGATTTTCATTTGATGATCTATTAAATATACAAATTCGTAATAAACTAAGCCGCACCTCATCAACCATACACGATTACATACGATATAGCACCAAAACCTGCCAAAGGAGAGAAAACACCAGAAAATGTGCAGTGTTGCTTATTGTTCTTTTAGAAAACCTTTGACATGTGATACGATAACGTGAATAGACTGGTGCTAGAAGCCGAAAAGCTTAATTGTGTAAAAAGTATACTTGTGGAAATGATGGGTACTTACGATTGAATGATGATGGGAATCATGATTGGACTGTGATCATGCAGCCTGCAATCATATGATTTAGAGTATAAATGACTCGAGCTTGAATAAATAAGATTGTGTTTATGTTTTTTGTTTTTTATTTTTAAAGGTTTAATATTTCGGGTTCGTGTAAGTGTTCAGTTCGTTTAGTGTTCGGGAACATATTCGTTAATATATTTGCCATCATGTTCATTTAGTATTTGCCAACATGTTCCTTTATTGATCATGAAAATGTTGTTTATATATTAAAAAAATGATGAAATCACGCCACTAGTCCTTAAGCTCATTAGACTTCACAATTTGAACTCTAAAATTCACTTTGTGTTCAATTGAGTCCCTATATTCATCAATATTTGAAATGTAAAAAATAAAAGTAAAAAAAAAATCGGATAAAAGAGCTTATAAACAAGTAACTAAATGAGTTTCCAAACGATTTTGTTTGTGAATATGAACGAATCAAACACACATTTGTTTGTATTCGTTTATTAAATAAACATAAAAAAATTTAGTTATATTCCTTTATTTAACTTAATAAACAAATATAAATCAACAACGGTTCACGAACAATTCTTCAAACATATAAATATTCACAACCCCTACATATGGCGAAGATTATTACAAAACCTTTCCGAACTTATATAAAGTTATATTCATATGAGACTCATGCATGATCATAAGTACTAAAGATTTGATGATGATTCCTGATTCAAATCCGAGACTCTCTCTTCTGTTTCTCTCCTCCAAGCTCGCATGTCCGAATCTTTGGAGAGAAAGAAGTTGATAATCATTCGAGGAGCACATGTCAATCATCGGCGTGTATATATTTATATTAAGCTCTGCTGATGAACCCATGATTGCAGTTCCTCAATGGAGAAATCATTGAACTCCAGTTAGATGAATGATGATGGGTAATTGTTGTACTAATCAAAGTCACCTCAACAGTCTCCCTATTTAAACACCATGCAAACAGCCGATAAACAAGCCTAAGTATCATCGAAAACCATCAATTCCATAGATTTCTTCATCGTCATGGATTTCAACAGCTCAAAGCCTTTCTCTTCCAAAAGAAAGCAGCGTAAGCAGCAGCAACCTCAGCAACAGCAAGAAGAAACGAGATACTTGGGAGTAAGGAGGAGGCCATGGGGTCGATACGCAGCCGAGATAAGAAACCCTTCCACAAAACAAAGGCATTGGCTCGGCACGTTCGACACGGCTGAGGATGCCGCCTTGGCCTACGATCGTGCATCTCGCTCCATGCGTGGCCCCAAGGCTCGAACCAACTTCGTCTACTCCGATATGCCGGCTGGATCATCCGTCACCAATATCATCTCCCCCGATGAATCACTTCATCACATGTCGTCCATTTTTCCCACTAATCAAACCGATGCTAACCAGTACCCGCTTTTCTTCAACCAAGACCCTTTCGATGTAAGCCAGTTTTGTTCCGGATCACCAGCGGAAAGCGATGCGTTTGAGCCTTACAGGCCCATTACTGGACTCATGGATGCTGGAAATGGTGGTTCTCTACAGTTCAGGGACGACTCTGAGCTGCCACCTTTGCCTCCTGATGTCTCCTCCACTTGTTACGGGTACGGCTCGGGTTCAGATATGGGTTATGAAGCTTGGAATAACACAGGCCTTTTCGGGTTATCGGATCAAACCCCAAATGGGTTTGACTCAGGAGTGAATCTGGGCTTTAACTCATACGAGTTGGAGCAGCAGCACAGCTCACTCTTCGGGACGATTCCAGCCGTTCCTGATACGGTCACTGACACATTTGATTTTACTCCATCGTCGGGTTACTTCTTTCAATAACTTTCTCAAATATATTTTATAAAATAAATAAACGTGACATTTAATATTATCTAAATATTATTTATAAAATCATTTTTCTATTCATAATATACTTCTTATTTTGATGTTTTCTTTTTTTCTAAATTGGACGAGTAATGGTCCTTACGATGGTGTTGGGTTTGGGTCCATTTTGGGAAAATGGCCAGCTTCCACTAAACTTGTCATGCCTTTCTACAGACCGAGTATCTATTCATATCATATTGTTGTATTTTTCAATTAATACTAATTATTAGTTTTATCGTGTAAAAATAAAATAAAGTTATATGAAAAATTTATAAAATTAAAATAAATTATATTATATTAATTGATCATTTATGTATTAGAGTATATAAACTGACTACAAGAATAAAATAAGTTCATAATATGAAGGAACTAAAAATCTAATCAAATAATTAAAGATGATAAAGTTAACAAACATTACTATCAATGATGAAAGATAAATACCATCAAAATCGACATAAAATTGCATATAACATGACACATTAATAAATTGACTTTATCGTAAGTTTATAACTCAATTGATACATATATTTATACATTGCGAGTGTTTATCAATAAAATAAGATAAACCCGAGAATTACACGAATCAACTTGTCTCAGTGATTAAAGGAATTGTTATTGTTCTTAGAGGTCACATGTTCGAGCACCAACTACTGTAAGGGTAATTGAGCGTTCATTGTCAAATGTTTGAGAGTATTTAAAACAAATACTACTTTGTAATCATCTTTAGCTCAGTAAAAAAAATTCTCTTGAGAATTCATGAACATATCAACAAACAAAATTAATTAATATTTAAATACATAAAGAGTTATTAAACCCCAAAAGTGACAAGATCTTAGGCTCTTAGCCACTCCCAATGTGTACATAACGTCATCATCCCTTATAGTACATGTCTTAAATGAACATAGAGGGACTTATACAACTTTTAGAATTGAGTATAATCTCCTGGCTTATGGTAACTCTACAATAGGATAGCTTTATCTTATCTGATCGCAGAAACCAATGAGGGTGATATCAAACATCATGGTAACTTCTATTATTAGTTTTATTTAGTTTAGTCACTCAATTATTATTTTTTTAAAATCATATATAACATTATATTTTGATTCATTTTAGTCACCCACTTTTAAAAAGTCGAAATAACCATTTTCTTATTTTTTTTCAATGATGATATAACATTACTTTATAATAACTTTGGCAGCCTGGCTGGGACAGAGGCAGAACATGGCTCGTGGAATTAGGATAATTCTTAAATACAACTAATAATACAAAGGTACACGATATTCCATATGTCCGAAGGGGAGGGGATATATTTCTTTAAACCCCTAGACGACAATGCTTGTCCCAAACATACAGGGAGGTGACAAAAGAGATAGGGTTTGTGTCAGTTGGGCTCATCTCGAGGAGGCCCATAAAATATTTCAGTTGATGTTGTTAGGCCTTTCAATATTGTGGAATTGTTTAGTATGTTAGATGTTTTGGGCTGTATATAGCCTAGTCTTCTAATGGGCTGGAATACTCTCAAAATTTGGTGTATAACCCATGAATTGTAAGGAAAATATTGCACTCTTCACTATGAACTTTAATAAAACTTTTAGAAAGTTTTTATGTTTTCTCAAAGTGATATAATTTCTTTTATTTCAAATTGATCAAGTTTAGAGTGACAAAAATTAATACAAGTGAAGAGTCACTAAAATTTGAAGTTGATCATAATTCCGTTACTTATTTAACATACAAGTGATGAAAATTCGAATGATCAAATTGAAATTTTTTAAAATTAAATGATAAAAATAGAAATCTAATCAAAACAGAGTGATGAAAGCGTTATTTACCCTTGCTCAATTTTTATAAACGTCATAGCATGTTGATGATTTATACAATTACTCAATTTCACTAATTTTCATCTTTTTCCTTATTAAAAAGCCAGGGGCATTCAAGTTAGATTAGACGAAGCAACAACGTAATTAGATGTACAATTAAAGAATTAAATTGAAAGCATTTATGGTATTCGCACGTCAAAACGTCAGCCATTAGCCTATGTTACCGCATACGCGTTACCCCAAAACCATCCTATGTATGCGTGTGTATATATATATTCTCTTTCTTCATCTTCAATAATCACTCGCTTACATTGTTCTTGTCCTGTTAGCTACTTTAAATCATCGATTTCCAGCACGCACAAGCGATTCCATACAAATCATGGCCTCTGCCATGCTCCGACACGACTTCACAATCCGCCACATCAGCAACAGTCGGCCCCAACAACAACCACCTCGTGGTACGACGGAGCAACAAAGAAATGCTCGATATCGAATCGGAGAACGCGGTGATTGTATTCTTGAGGAAGGGTTGTTGCATGAGCCATGTGGTGAGATGTTTGCTGCTGGCGTCGGGAGTAAACCCAGCGGTTTGCGAGATTGATGAGAAGGATGAGGTTGGCGTTTTGAATGAATTGGGGATGATTCGTGATCAAGGGAAGCATGGAAAGGGTCAAACGGTGCAGCTTCCGGCAGTGTTTATCGGCGGGAGATTATTTGGGGGTTTGGATATATAAAGTTATGGCTACTCATATTAGTGGTGAGTTGGTTCCCGTGTTGAAAGATGCTGGGCTTTGTGGCTTTAATTAATAAGCCTACAAGATTAATTCATTCATCTCCATATCTTCTTCCTTGATTTGTTGAAATCAAACGAGTCTGAGACTCGAATCATGTAAGGACAGTAATGACTTCCCAAAAATGTTGAGTGACCATTTTTAAACTTTTAATAATTGAGACACTAAAAAAGCAATGTCCGTTAGTCAGAGGGGTCATTTTATAACTTTTAATAGTCAAAGAATCCAACAAAGTAGTGTAATATAATCGGGGATCATTTGTGTATTTTATCCTAAAATAAATAAAAACCATTATTTGATATTTAAACACATGACCAATAACTTCTGTTTTTTTATATTTTTATCAAGCCATGTCTTCACTTTAACATAAACTTAACCATCAGTGACCAAAATAGAAATAAAATAAAATATTACTTATAATTTATAATCAAAAAGTTAATTGAGTGGCCAAATCAGAATAAGTTGATAATTCCCGTGAAAACAAGTCGTAAGGTCTTTGAAATTTTTTTTGCACATCTTCATTTGACTTGTATTCGGAACTATAAGATTATTTTATATAATGAAGATGTTCACGTTATAACTATGAACGAGTTCCCTTTTTTGGTTGCATTAATGGAGAAAGGTGTGACAGTGGATTCTGACATTGAAGTTTCCAACTCCACCGGCTTATTTTGTACCTACTGACAAACGAAATCCTCCACACTAAGTTTTGTTACTTCTTTGTGAATAATCCATGCATACAAATATAAAAGTAAAATGGAACTGAAATGTTCAAAATACATTTTAAAGAACAAAGTATACATTGACTAAAAAACCTAATACGCTGCTACACGTGGTAAGTATATCGAATCTTTGTACAGTTTCCGAAAGTAAAACTTCTCCCAGATTAAAGTTTGATGAAGCATGTCACACATTTACATTCTTGTTGTTTACACTGTACAAAGCATTAGGAACAAGTGGTTATGGTGAAATCTTTGATATTCTTCCATGGTGAAGAACGTTTCTTCTGTTCTTCAACTAGCTATAAAATCATTCCTTATTCTTCCCAACCCTTTTGGATGACTACATGTTAATTTATTATCTGGAGTATTTATTACCATGTAATTTATCAAGGCATGAAAGAACCATCATGGACTGCAAAGTGGGGAAGAAGCTGGCTAGGGTTGGCTCTGCTTTGGCCACCTTGATCGAAGGCAATGAAAGAAGGATTATAGAACTCGACGAGCCCGTTGTTGTTGTTGTTGTTCTTGAGGTGTTGGGAGCCTTCGTGTCCACTCTGTGCCTTTAGGGCGACCTTGATCGAACCACATTGTCTAGGCTGTGTTTGGTGGAAAACTTTCGAAACGACGAGCTCGCCGTCTTTTTCTTCTTCGTTGTTTCCGAGATGGTACTGGTGCATCACCCAATTTGTTTTCTCCGGTTTCCTTTGCTTCCCGTAGTTGGTGTAAAGCACCAGGATTTTCTTGTACCCCTTGACTCTTACGCTGATGAAAACCGGCCTCGTCTTGCCGGTTTTATGCCACCGGGTCTCGCCGCCTTCTGTGTTAGTGTGGACCTTCCTTCGTTTCCTTGTCCCGGTCGTGTATGCCTTGGAAGGCCGGTGAAAGAAGTGGCGAACCATGCCATCTTTGCTTACTCCTGCACACAAGGCCGGTTGGAGCATATATATTTCTTCATTAATATTGCAAATGTGACAGGCTACCAGGGTTAGTTGGAAGCTTTCTTCAAACAAGGAGAATGGTTAAGCATTTCTATCGTATCAAATAAATTTTCAGAATTCGGAAAACGGTATCGTGGGATAGTCCCGAATCCTGAACATGAACTATAGAATAGATATAGAAAATATATATATATAGTAGCATGTATGCATTAAGATCACCTGGCAACTTCTCAGGATGAGTATAGCAAATCCCATTCTCTCCTTCAATAGTAGGGATAAATTCATCAATAAGAGGATGAAGCTGACGAGAATCAGAGCGCACCTTCCCTTCCAAATGCTCAAGAATCTCTTGATCTGTTGGATCAAACTTCACACCAGCAGGTAATCCAGGCAAATCATGGATTCCACCCTATAACGTAGCGATTTTTGTACAGGTTTTTGCAGGAATATTAAATGTAAACAACATATTTAATACGAACAATCATTACTTCATGGAAATCATAGAATCAATTATAAGAAAAGAGATAGTGGAGTGGATGAATGACCTGGTCAAGGTATTTGATGTGATGACCGCAAGAAGGGCATGTTCTAAGGAGGCAATCTCTGTGCCTTTGAGCAACAACAGTTTTGTGTGACGAGGGAGGGGAGCTTCTCTCGACGGTTTGCACATCACTGCAACCATTGCACCAAGTCATTTCCCCACTCTTTCTTTATCTTTTCCCCATTCCACTGTGGAGGAGATCTTTGCTTTTACTTTCTTTGTTTTCTTCCCTGCTACTCCAAAATATAAACAATACTATTAGAGGGAAGAGTAAAAGGAGGAGACACAGAATTAAAAGGGAAATGAAGTGGAGACACAAAAGTTGGCTTCACTCCTCTAAAGCTTTGGTGCTCCAAAGCCTGCTTATCTTGAGGGTTGAGAAGGGTACATTCAATTCCCTTTTCACTTTTTACCTAACACTTTGCATTCAACTATCATGCACGCTAAGAATGTCTCCTATGAGAATTTGATTATTTTATCTTAAGTTCAAATATTATGATAGGAAAGAATATATTAGAGTTTATGACCTAATTTATGATTGGTCCTAATAAAAAGTTCACATTACAATTCACTAGGTAAAAATAATGTTACAATATACGAAGCTAATGATGAGTATATACGGTTGCAAAGTAAAACGAAAGAAAGAAAAATAAGAAATCAATAATATAAGAGGATTATGATTACGTGCAATATGATGATTAACTCGAATCTAATAATATCTTTGTCCCCGTTAAAAGATTCAACCTTTCTCAACGTTGGATATAGTCAAAGCTCAAACAAATACTTAAGAGATCATGAATTAAACCCTAATAATATCAAAACTCAACATTTAATAGCTTGAAAAGCACATTTGAAGTACTCTCTTACTCGATCACTCTTGATTATGGTTTTAACACTGGAGCTACCTAAAATATCTAATGAGACTAACAAAATTCTCGTTCTCACTTGAGTATTGCAGTATCGTAGGTTCCATTCAAAGCAAGAAAAGGGATTACTTGGACCATACGTTATGGTTTTTGCTTGAGTATCAGCATATGGGAAACTTGTAATGCAATAAATGTAGTTTTGAAGTCTTTTTTGTGTTTGCATGCTTTTAACCTCTGTCTAAAGGCTGCATTTTGGGATGGTTAAAATAGCTAAGTTAAATATTAAAGAAGGCCGAATTGAATAATGAGAAAAGAGTGGAGATGGGGCAATCAGATTAATTGGTGGAGCTATGTTTCACCACCTGAGAGAAAGGGAAAGGTTTAAGGTCCGATGTCACCTTGGAGTATTCATAAAGCTAAAAATTGTATTCTAATTTTATATAAAATATATAATCAAACCCCATTATTCTATTTCTTCACCTACACTTCTCATGAACTGCAAGAAACCTCCCTTCTACCTCCTAATGTCTACGTGGCAAGATAGGAGCACGTCATCGAATTTGAGGCATATATTTTTTTCCTGTCAATTAATTTAATTTTATAAAAAATAGAATTTTGAATATAAAAGAAATTAAAAAAAATGGAAAATTTGAGAACAATAAATATTATTAAACCTTATTTATGAGATGGCCTGAGTGATGAAACTCAGTGGAGAATTTTCAGTGGGACCATAACTTGTTTATTGTCCGAGTTTGAACATGTGAACCGTCAACATTGTCGGAAATACCTGGTTTTGATCCTCTTCACCGCCTACTGGTATTTTTCCACTTACCTGGTGTGAATTTTCAACATTGATATTTCTTTCGAGTTGATTGGTAATGAGCATCCATATTTGTTGGATTTATTGTGCGAGTACTGACATGTTGTTTTATAGTACCAACATGGGTGCGGAGTTATGAAGGAAGATGGTGAGCTGATGGTAAGGAAGAGCATCCCAGGGCAGAAGAGATAATTAGTTCATTACCATCCTAATTTGTATCGAATTGAGGAAATGGGAGAGCCAGCGTCAAAGGGTCTGCGGCGTCATATTCAGTGGCATCAAAATCAGACGTTGGATTTTAGGGTACTTCCATGCCTTGGTGGGTTCCTTGCCTTTTTCTCGCCTAAGCTTGTGGCTGCTGCCATTTTCACTTCATTTTCACTCGCCTCTTTCCACTTGCATTTTCGGCTTCTTCTCTCTCATACATCATATTTTATTCTATAAATTCTAATATTCCAAATTTTAAATAAAAATAACCATTCAAATTAATATAAAGACGGAATAAAAACTTATACTTTTTTACTATAAATAACATAACTAAAAATTATATAAAATATATCAGACAGTTTTTCTATAATTTTTACAAAATAATTTATTAAAATTTATAACATTTTTAAAATATAAAAGATAATATAATTATTCTTTTAATAATTATATTTTCTTACAATTACACTATATTATCTCTAACAAATAAACCAAACACTGTATTTTTTTTCATATTTGTTGAATGGAAATTCTTGATGGTCCGCCATAAACAATAACAGTGATCATAAAGTAGGCACATCCGTAGCCAATAATAGTCCTTAAGAAATGTTTATTTTACTGCCAAAAAGTTCCTTAGAATAGCAGGGTTACACGTGTCACTATAATGTGAACCTACAGGCGTCTGCGATAGATTAGAACTAGTCAAGGCTTTTGTCTCTTGTTTTTTCTATTTTAGAATCCTGTCTTTTGTAGGAGACAATTGCAATTTGCATCACCGCGTTTCAAAGTATATTAAACATCATTAAATTATATTTAAATAATTAGTTTAATTATTAAATTTTAAAAATTTATAAAATAATTGTTTTTTATATATATAAAATGATTATTACTATAATAAATATAAAATTTTAATGAATTTAATGATATTTTGTATTATTTTGATAAAATTAATGATTATATTATAATTTTTAAAAATTTAAAGATAAATAATTATTTAAATATAATGCAGTGACCTCTTATCTATTTTAATTTTATTACTATTAAAATTAATTCAAAAAACATTTTTGTAAATATTAAAATATCAAATTTAACTGATCAGATTAATTGAATTTTTTTATTTTTAATTATATTTATTGTTATAGTTGGGTTTGAAAAAAAATCCTAATTTTATTTTACCCTAAAGCACAATAGTAAATTTATCTTTTCTGTGCATAATCTACATTTACAATTATTTTTGAATTGTTAGTATTTGATTTATTAATATTTTTATTTTAATATATAGAATAAAAAAAGAAAATATATTCATCAGGAAAAAAAAAGAGAAACTCGAAAGAGTAGGTTTCTACATGAAACCTAACATATGGTTAATGTCGTCGAATTAAAGGGTTTCCTCAGAGCCAAGGTGTTGAATATGGCCGGACATGCTATGCAATGCTATCAAGTTGAAGAAGAAGGTGGTATGTTGGGGACTCCTTGGCGTTGCAACTCTCCCAAAACACCGTCGCAAGACGGCGGCTTCAATCCGAGAGGCAGTGGCAGTCCCGGTTTCGATAAAACGTCTCCTATTGCTGCATCTATGCTCTCTCTGGACTGTTGCACAATCATAATATTATTACTTAATTAAATTTGATAATCATGCGTTAAAATCAATAGAATTTCACCGTGGAGCAAAGTTAAAGCTTACTAACCGGGTGGAAGTCCATGAGAGGGTGGGGACCAGATAGGACGCCAATGCCGGGGTCTGCCTTGTACACGGTGGCCAGGTGCGGGGGAATGCCCGGGACCGGTGATGCGGCAAATCTCTACATTCAAAAGCACCAAATAATTTCAGTTTCAGATGTCAATTCAAAGCACTAGCAACCATCATCTTATTCTTCCTCTTCTTTTTCGTGATTCTCAAAAAAAAAAAACAAGCGATAATTAACCTCCAAATTAAACAGTAAGGAGTGAGTGGGTTGTTTACCGTTGTTGCCTGTGGCTGTGGAAAGCAAGGTGTTCCTGGGGCTACCCCATTTCTTACCTGTAATAAAGAGAGTATTAGAGATGAAAACAAATATATACAGTAATCAGCACTGAAAAAGGAGCTTACACGTAGGTTTTGGTGGTGGTGGTGGTGCCAATACGAGGGGTCAGCGGGTGGAGGTGGCCACGTGGGCCGTCTTGGTGGCGGCGGGGATGGTGTCCGGGCTAGATGTTTAGGCCATAAGTGCATTAGGGATCGATCCATAGTGGGATGACCCCATACATGCAAAGGCCTAAACTGGTGGTTCATGGGTGACGACGACGGTGACATGGGCGGACAACCAATAATGGGTGCAAGCCAAGGATTCATATCTCTCTTAACTCCACCTGTTGGAGTGGCGGCGGCACCACCGTAGATTTGCCTCCTGTGAGACCAGTTAGCCGCCTCCGCCTCACGAGCCAGTAAATGCTTCCGATGAGATCTATATTTCTACACAACAAAAAAACACACATACTCATCAATTTCAAACCAAATCCCTCCAGATCAAAACTTCATTCACCATTTAAATATATATATATATATATACTTGAAGATGACTGGCAATGTTATGGCGAGTGAGACATTCGATCCCCATGATCTCTAAAATTCTTGAAGGCACCGCCTTATCCAGCCCCAGCTGCTCCACCGCTTGCACGAATCTCCTGTGCAGCTCCGGCGTCCAATCCACCTTCACATAATTCAATAATTAAATCAAACACTTATCATGCATCTTCAAGAAAACCTTCTAACACAGCTATAACCTAATTCAGTCATTATATACCTTCAATTTAATCTTCCCTAGATTTTGATTTTTTGCTTGTGCTGGTAATTTTCTTCCCTTATCAGCATCTTTGGAAGTTGTTTTAACTGCTCTAGGATTTTCACCTTTGCTCGAACTCGAACGTGAACTCAAACCCGAAACCTTAACTTCTTCCTCTTTCCTTTGATTATTATAACCTTCATCCGTTTTTTCTACCGATGTGTTCGTTTGCAGTTCCTCGGCGGGTAATTCGGAGAAAATTTCAGGGCCGAGCTCCAAATCCGGCAACCCATCACCGTCGACAAAGAGATCCTCAAAGTTGATACTCTCAAGTAAATTCCCATCGGCGAAGTCAGGGAAATCTTCCGAGCTAATAGTGAACATCTCCATCTTTTCTTTGTTTTCATCCTCAGCTGTTGTGTTCCTCAATGGCGACACAGCTAGCATAAATTCAATGACTCTTCTTCACCCCTAGAAGATTAAACCAAAACTGCAGAAGAAATAATCAAAACCGAAGCTTACGTACACACAAGCACTTCTAATACTACGTATCCTTTATGCAGGCATAAATAGACTTAAGGCCAAGTATTGGATATAGTTTTTGTAGAAATAGGGTTTCTTACTGTTCTTAAATTCCGACAACTTGAACGGAGATGAAGAGACAAAAGACTTAATAGGTTAGATGAGATTCTGAGGTTTCTTGCTGCTTCTTGTTTACGCAGAAACCAAATAGTGACCTTCATTCAACAATAGGTTTAGTCTTTGATGGTCGGAAAGAAAATAAAAATATAAGTCCTTTTCAATTTAGTGTGAAAATTATCTCAAATAATATCTTGCAATTGGATAAAGTATATAATAAAGGTTGATATTAGATTTTAGCGTAGAATAAGGTGCTTTTGGATCGAGTAATGTTACATTATTTCGTAACATTTATAAGGATAATAATATAAGATTATCTATAGTAAACTTTATAATAAAATTAGTATATCTTAAATAATTTTATCTCGATTATTTTTTATTTTATCAATTTAGTTTTTCTATATTAGATATATATACATAGTTTTAATGGCATGCCTAATTTGGTCGTTATATAATTTATTAAGAATATATTTTATTTAAATTTGATTTTATAATTTTTATATAAACTTGTATTTTAAATATTGTATTAGTTTTAATTAAAATTAGATAATTTTGACGATAGTGACGTGTCTATAAATATTTTTTTTTAAGGTGACCACACATCTATTAATAATACATGATTTTTGTATATGAGGTGAACTTAACTAAATAAATAAATAATTGAATGAAATTTAAATTCCAATTTGACAATATCATATACAGATGCCACTGTTTGATCTGAATTAGTTTTGTATATATTTCAAATAAAATATGAAACATAAAAGTATTTATTTATAATTTTTTACATTTATTTGATTAATTTGCTTAAAAACAATTTTATCACAATGATGATTATTTTCAGTTTGTCTTATATAGATTAGATAATGATTAACACGAATCAACTTGTCTCAGTGATTAAAGGAATTGTTATAATTCCTAGAGGTCATGAGTTCGAGTACCAACGATTGTAAGGGTGATTGAGCGTTTATTAATGTCCAATGATTGAAAGTATTTGGAGCATATATTGCTTTGTTATAATCACCTTAACTTAATAAAAAATTAGACAATGATTAATATAATAATTTTGTTAATAATATGTTAAACATATATATAGTATAAGTAGATTCCTATGAAATGATTTTTTTAAACTTTCATATTAATATTTTATTGAGCATTAAAGATTAATCTTATCTAAAGGGTATTATAAAAAAGATTTGAATAAAATATATTTAATAATTATTTATAATAATTGTAAGAATAAGTATTATTCAATTTTAAAATCTTTTATGTATTTGCTTATATATATCTATCTATCTTTTTAATTAATCCGATTTGGTACGTGAAGAGATCAACAATTGAAATCGCATGAATCAATTGAAAAATCTTAAGAAAAAAAACGAATTAGAGTAAGAGAAGATTGGATCTCCACCACAACTTAGGCTGAGATGTAAAGGATTTGTTTGTTTTGGTGTTTTATTTGGCATAATTTATATTTTATTATTTTTTATTGTAAATTTTTTAAATGTGTGGATGGCTTTTTTTTTCTATAAAAAATTGTAAATGAGTTTTGCAAAAATTTTGAGGCGCCTGCTCTGCTCGTGAAATGTTATATATATATATATATATTTATTTAAATGTTATTTTATAGTAAATGTTATTTTTTAAAAATGTTATATATATATATAATTTATAATAATTAATTGGGTAATTTACATAAATCATAAAAAACTTTCTTCTTTCTCCTATTTTGCTCACTTAACTTTAAATGCTCTCAATTTATTCGTTGAACTCTCGAATTACTCTTATTTTGGTCATTTCGCGGTCTATTTAACAGCGTTATGACATAGCGCAAACATCAAAACGATGTCATTTTGAAAAAGTAAAGTATACACCAAAACGACATCTTTTTAAATCTCTTTTCATTTCTTCATTTTTATCATTTTTCTCTCACCTCTTTTTTTTCCTTCTTCTATTTACACATAGTTACCACTGTCGACCACCGCACCATTTTCTACTGATCACCTCGTACAATTGTTGATGGTGGCGGTTAAACCCCAAATTTCTCTCGTAGACTCCTTTTCACCCTCGAACATGAATCCGACATTATTTTCACCAAACATACCCCAAAGTTGACATATATATGCTGAAACTCTTTAATTTTCTCTGTTTTTATCGTATTTATCCACCGTTGGATCAACTTCAAATCAAGATATGGTGTTTTTTCATCGTCATCCATCTTTTCACCGCTTTGATTATGGTATTTTTTTTTTTCGTAATCGTGTTTGCTTCAAGATTTGAATTGAGTTTTAGTTTTGGAAATAGGTTTTAGTTTTGGCTTCACAATGAGGGATTGTTGAAGGATTGAAATGATTCTCAAGTGAGTGAGGATTCAATGGCAGTGAATTAGAATGCAACGGAGCAAAGATGAAGATGACGATCGATAGTGAGTTGTTGACCAAATATCCAATTTAATGATAAATTATTTTTAAAAAATTATATTAATAAAATATTAGTAATTGTCTATGTGGAAATTAAAAAATTAATAAAAAGTGAATGTCATCATAATGTTAAGAGAGTTAACAAGAGTGATAAAAAAAATTCAATTTTCAAAGTTTAGTGAGTAAATTATAAAAAATTAAAATTTATTAAACAAAATATGAGAGAGAATAAAGTTTAATGATGATTTATATAATTTACCCTAGCTTTTTTTCTAATATATAAGAACATTTCTTTGAAAAAAGGGAATTGATGTGACAGTAGAATTGGATTGATATATATATATATATATATATATATATCTCTATATATATATACTGTGATTGTGTTTATCTGTTTGTACACTGATGAGGACCAGAAAAGAAAGTGATGGGTGCAATTAATGGTGAAACTTTTGGATAAATTTATTCAAATATTAATAGATTTAAGGTGAAGTATATTAAAATTTATTAGGTGAATTAAGTGATTAAAGTAAATGTTATTTTTTTTAAAGTTGAATTTTGAAGAAATTTTTAAAATGAATATTGCATATTAAAACATATTATTAATGTAATATATAGATGCACACTATTAATTAAATTATTTTTATTAAAGAAATATTAAAAAAATATAATGATTTATCTATAGTTAATTCTTTACTAAATTTTTTGATCTATCGAAAGAGTAAGAAAATTTATTTAAAATGTTTATTTAAATATTAAAAAATTTATTCAAATTTTTTTATCTATCGATAGAGTAATAAAAATATTAAAAAACATACTATTAATGATCTATCGATAGAGTAAGAATTTTTTTTAAAAAATATTATTTTATAATCACTCTATACCGTTTCAAAAATAAATTAGAAGTTTTACAACTATCAATAATTATTTAAATGTAATTCAACAACATCTATTTTACTTTATCAAAAGATTTAATACTTATTTCGTATCAACTTTTGTTAATTGTCTTTGTGTAGTGTTAAATTTATTTGTTTTCTATTTTATTTTTTCAAATTACTTACTTAGTAGTAATTTTTTGTATGATTTTTTTATTATTCAATGATTATTTTCACTCTTTATATACTGATTAATAGTTATTTTCAATTTGATTCCTGAATTTCTTTTAAACTATAATAATCACAAATTTTATTTTATTTTTATCTTTCAATGGCATGGATCAGTAAAATTATATCATAGGATTAAAATGATTAAAAATAAAAATATTAAATTTAATAAACAATGTGAATGAAAACTAAATATTTGTAAATTTCAAAGATTAAACGATATTTTATCTCAAGGACCCAACCGATTGAAGGGTCGTGCTTAAGAGAATCATGATGAGATTTGAGGTCCCAATCTTCCTGAATTGGTCGGTCTTGTCCTTTCCTTTAACTCTAGTTCCGTCCCTATCCCCCACTGTCTTGTTATTGCATTTAACATAATTTGAATTTGCCACCAAGACTTAGTAGCACCATAATTGTATAAACATATCGAAGAGAAGTAGACATGATGAAATGACACATCCAATAAAAGGGATTTTTGAAAGTTTTCTTGTAACATCCCAAATTACGGGTTAGTGACCAAATCGTAAATTTTTAGAATTTGGTGATTAAAGTAAAATAGTTGAATAGTTCAATGATTTATTTGGGGATATTTCTTGAAAGTTTATAGTAATTATCCAAAGAATTAAAGGGCAAAATAGTCATTTGTCATGAAAGATATTTTTTTTATCCCTTTAATAAGAGATAAAAACGTGTGAAGATGAAAACATTTCATCTTCTTCCTCCTTTCTTCTTCTCCAACCGTGGAAGACTAAGCAAAGGTGAGTTTCTATTTTTGTTGATTATTTGTTGAATTAATGGTTGGGTTTTTATCACTAGATGATAATTAAGCTTAAGGAAAGCTTAATTTACTCTAAAACAATAAGATGAAAGGTATAGGAGAGATTAAAGATTTTGAGTTCTTGAATGAAATCTTGGAATAGAATTGATAAGTTGAATTTAAGTTGAATTTGACTTGTCATCTATGAGAATAAGAAGTTAGAAGTGTTAGAACTAAGTTTGGATAACACGAAAAATTTGGTATGATTATTGATTTCTATATGGAGAATAGAATTTTGAGATTTAAGATGAAATAAATGGATATAAATTAGTTTAAGTATGTATATTTGAGTTAAGAATAGAAAAGTGAATGAAACATGAAGAATTTAAGTTGTTATAGTGAATTTTCGGCCATGAACAGTGATTTTCTGGGTTTAAACGAAATTTCCAGATTGTGTAGGGGGAACAGATTCCCCCTGGGGGGGTATCGATTCCCCGGGAACAGATTCCCCCTGGGGGGTATCGATTCCCCCTAAATGAAAAATGGAATTTGATTCATTAAACCGGTTTAAGTTATTAACATCAAGTTTAAAGTTTAGACTTCTGATAGTTGTTTGAAATGATATATTTATGTAGATATTGAGCCTAAACAAGTTCCGGAATAATCAAAGGATTAGGATCGAATCAAAGCAAGGCTAAAGTGAGTGCAATTTAATTGTACTTATGCTATCGAAAAACATTGGCTTGCGATGAGCCAGTGACAGAGTTACTATGGTAAAAAGTGACTCTTAAAATGTTAATTGATTTGTGATTT